TATCTAAGTATACTTTATTTATTAAAGGTAATATTAAAAACTAAATTACTCTTTATATAGTATATATACTTTTTATTTAAGATAAGTTTGCTAACTTTATTACTTTATAAAATAGCTATAAAATTTATATATAAAGAAATTATTAGTATATTAAATCTAGAATTTCTATAGACTTATATTATATATAAAATGCTCTAAACTAGAGCGTTCTACTAAGTTCTAATAATAATATAGCTAATTAATAAGCTCTATATAATATACTGATACTACTTTATAGAATTAATATTAAATTATTTCTTACTAAAATTATAAATAAATAGTATATAAAACAGCTAGAAGAGCTAGGATATTTTAATTATAAACTTAATAATTACACTTAGCTTTATATATTAGTTTACTTTTTACTATAAGATTAAATTTAGAATTATTTTAGAACTAGTTTAGAACTAGTTCTAGAACTAAGTTTAATTCTATATAGAGAAGCTTAAATATATATATAGTAATATGAATCTACTAATTTATATATATACTAATTATTTATAGTACTAACTTCTTTAAGATAATTTTAAGCTGTATATAAAATTTAATCTTTAAGGCAATCTACTTCTATAAGACCTTTAAAGGCAAATATAAGACTTCTAGGACAAAGAAATTAATAGTAGCTAGCGCTTTTATTTCTTCTAAATAGGTTGCTATCTCTCTAAGCTATAAGTGTAACTTATAGAACCTTCTATTAAAGAAGACTCTACTTACTCTTTAGACTATATAGTATTATTAGCTATAGAGCTTATAAAAAGTAAATTATTAAAGCTTATTAAACTACTCTACTTAATTAAGTAAATTAGTAAAGCTAATAACTTTATATCTAGAGAGAGTATTATAGTTAAGAGTAAATTAAATATACTTAAAGTTAGTAATTATAGTAAATTAAATTAAGTCTTATTTATATTTTTTTATTATAAATATAGAAGATAGAAATATATCTAAACTAATATATAGCTATCTTTAATATTCTATTTATATATATTATTTTTATAGAATAAGTTAAAGACTATATATAATATAGTATATATTTAAGGCAGAAGTTAAAATAATCTAGCCTACTTAGACTATATTTATCTAAGCTTAAAAAAAATATTATTATTAAATTATACTATAAAGCTTAGTTAAATATACCTATTTATCTATTGCTTTTTATATAAAGGTTTATTATTAATATCTAACTATAAAAGTAGCTAAAGTTTAATTAGGCTTAGTAGAACTTGTTAGTATAAATATAAAAGCTAGTCTTGCCTAGAAGGTACTATAGTAGAGGCAAAATTAAGTATCTAGATATTAACTTTAAATTTTATTATATATATAATATAATGCCTTAGAGTAATATTTTTACTGCTAGTTATATAATATTTTATAGTAAATAACTAGAAGAAAAAGATAGAATAAAGAGTAAATTAAGAAGAGAAAAGAGGGAAATTAAGAAAAGAGGGGAAGTAGAGAGAAGAATAAATAAGTATTTTTTTTCTTTACTTAGTAATATAGAGAACGCTAGTACTAGAAGGTAGTTAAAGCTTAGTGCTTATATATATATCTTTAACTATATACTATAGAATTTAACTACAGCTAGTAAGGCTAGTAATAACTATATATATATAGAAATAAGCAGCCTCTATAAAGTAGCTAGCTTAAGTACTAGTTATATAGCTTTATAGCTATCTAAAGTAATAAATATATTAAATATAACTACTAGATATTACTATAATAAATATATATAAATTACTTCTCAACTATTTTAAGACTAAATTAAGCTAAAATAATAAATAATTTATAATTTCTTTACTAGATATATCTTAAAGAAATATATCTTTAATTTATTTATAAAATAACTTAAGCAACTAATTTAAAGAAATAAAATATAAAAGCTAAGTAAAAAAGTAAAGTTAAAAGAAGTAAAGTTAAAAAAAGTAAAGTAAAAAAAAGTAAAGTAAAAAAAGCAAAGAAAAAAAAACAAAGAAAAAAAAATAAAAAAAACAAAAGAAATAAAAGAAAAATAAAAAATAAAAGAAAAATAAAAAATAAAAAATAAACTAACTAAACTAATTAAACTAATAAAAATATTCCTAAACTTTATAAGACTAGTTAAAGCAAGAGGGGGGGTATTTTATAGCTATTAGTATAAATTATTTTTAATTTAATTCTAATTTTAACTAACTTACTATATAAAATAAATATATAAATATTATAGGCTATATTAAGCCTCTAGAAACCTACTATATAGTATATCTTAGTAATTATAAAAAAGCTATCTTTATAGTATAGTAGCTATATAGTAAAGAGTATATTATTTAGTAATATACTAGGTAAATTTTATTAGCTAGAATTAGTTCTTAACTAGTTTATAATTATTTAGTAAGTAGTTTATACTATTTCTATGTCTTTATTCTTATTCTTAACTTTATTTTTATTTTTATTCTTATTCTTATCCTCCTTATTCTTAGAAAGAGAGAGGGAGGGGGAGGAGCTTAAAAGCAGGGGCAGAGGCAATAGCAATAACAATAATAACAATAACAATAATAGCAGCAGCAGCAGCAGTAATAGCGACAACAACAACAATAACAACAGCAAGAGCAAGGGCAGGAGCAAGGGCGAGAGCGAGAGCGAGAGCGAGAGCGACTAGGCAGGCAGCTTAGCGGCATTTTATTGAAATTAGTCTTAATTCCTTTTCTAATTACTTTATAAGTAGTTTAGGCAGTATATATACTATTCTTAGTTAGTAGTATATAGCAGCTGCTGCTTTAGCATTAGCAGTAGCAGCTCTATTATGCGCAGTTTAAACTGCAGTATTAGTAGCAGTAATAGCAGTAGTAGTTAGCAGCATAAGAGCAGGAATAGAAATTGCCTTAGAAAGCGTTATACCTTGCTGCATAGGCTTATATAGTGTTTATAATAGCGCTTAGCTGTTAATATAGTCTAGATATTATTCTATATAAAATAAATATTAATTATTATATAACTAGTTTTAAACTATTTTCTATAGCAACTTATAGGCTAAGTTATTATTTAATTGCTCTTTATTATCTCTAGAGTAGTGCTTCTCTAGGTTAATTTTATAAAATTAAATATAATAGTTTTAAAGTAATAACTTAATTATATATTACTATATTTATAAGAAATAAATAAGAATTAATTTATATATATATCTAGTTAGTATTATACTTAATTATATAGTATACTATTTACTTTAAAATAGTAGAATAGTTCCCTAGGGAATAAAATTAGCTAGCTATCCTAGAATTATTTCTAAGTTAGTTCTAATTATTACTTTTATTATTTCTACTAGAGAAGACTTATAGCATTAAATTTTAACTTAAAGATAAGCTTATTAGTAAGTTGCTTCTCTAAGTTTAAGTATTACTAGTATTATAGTAATAACTTATATCTATAAGATATTTTTTTTAGGCAGTATAAACTAGTTTAGAAATAATTTAATAAGATAATAAAAGTAGTTTAAGTTTATAGAAGGAAAAAAAGAGATATAAAGATTAAGGAAGATAAGTCTTACTTAAATAATAAAAATATAGTAGCTAGGCATTTACTTTTATATTAATTTATATATTATAAGATAAAATTGCAAAATAATATATATATTTATAGAGAGTGCAAGTAAATATATAAGTTTAAGTAAGTATTTTATATAATATTAAAGTTAATAACAATTGTAAAGACGTGCGTAGTAATTAACTATAATTACAAAGACGTGCGTGTATGCAGTACTGCAGCAAATCAGCAGAATGCAAATCAGGAAAATTATAGTAGCAGCATTTGCAGATGCAAGCTAATGTGCGACTGTAGAGCTGCATAATTGGCTCTCGAGGCGACGATGGACCCACTCTGTCTACGTCTGTGTCTCGAGTCTCGACATTGACTGATTGACTGCCCAATTGATGTCAACATGTCTAACTCTCTGCCTTCTCTGGCACATTTTACTCGGTAATAAATGATACTGAGACATTTCTTGGCGTCAGTCAGTCAATTTCCATGTGCTTCTCTTCTTTTACATGACGGATGCACAGCGCCAGGAAATGCTGACAACTCCCATGCACACTCGAAAGTGGTGGAAATCGGGGGTTATTACTTCGTCAGACGTAAAGCTACCACGTAGATGGACTCTTAATTACAAGGTATCATCCAGCCCTCCAATCACAAGGGTATCGTCACAAGTAACTCGATACACCGATATGAAGCAGAGGACAGATGGACAGATGCAGGGTTGGGGTTAGGGTTATCCCGGTGGGCATTTCACACATCGTCCCTTGGGAGTTCCAATGTTGAATCCAAAATGTCTTTCACACTGTGTAATAGTTCTTGGGGTGGCTTATTTCTAAGAGTCTCGACACTGTGAGCTCACGAGTTTCGCGTATCTGATCATCCAACGAGCTCGAAAGCGTAATTAATTTGCCCCCCCCGGGCCTCTTCCAACCAGGTGAGTATATTCCGCGCTGCAGCGCTTTGGAGCATTAGCGGCTTTAGATTCGATTTGTCTGAAGGTCATGAGCAAGTCCATTGTAATGCGCAACAAGTGCTGTAGCCTTCAAGGTTCATTGGCGTCTGAGAAGGCTCTAGTGTGTTGGAATTCTTGATCCACGCCATTGACATACTGAAACCTCGTCGAAGAAAGTCGCGAATAGGATTAGGTGAAGATGCATCATCCGAGGGGCGAAGTGACGTAAGGGTAGTGATGCCCAATCGGGTTAGTGCGGGGCTATAGACGGCAAAAAAAAAAAAAAAAAAAAAAAACGATTGAGGATTGTCGGACAGACGAGCATTCTTCGGCTACACGATCTAGCCTTTTTTTTTTTTTCCAAACGTGTCCTCTCATATCAGGTTCTACAGCCAACTATCCGACGTCACTGACTTCCTGCCCTTGGTAAAATACCGTCTTTACACAGACAGAATGGGCAAAAAGAGGTCCAGAGAGGAGGGTAAAGGCGCCCCGCCCGCAGACACGGATGTGGACAAGATGGACGAGGACGGCAGCGACGATGAGGTACACGAGGCAGAGGAACACCACGAGACATCGCCCGCGTGCTGACTTGCCACGGCAGGATTTTGACATGGTCAATGTCGAGTTTGAATGGTTCAACTTTGACCCCGAAATCGACTTCCACGGCATCAAATCCCTTCTTCGCCAGCTCTTCGACGTAGACGCCAACCTGTTCAACATGTCAGCACTCACCGACCTGATCTTGTCGCAGCCAACAATCGGCTCGACGGTAAAGGTTGACGGCAAGCAGACAGATGCCTACGCCATGCTCACCGCTCTGAACACACACGTCCATCGCGACACCGAGCCCATGAAGGATATCCTGAAATACCTGGTCGACAAGGCGCAAACGAATGCCTCGCTGGCCGCGGTCGCCGAACTCATCAGCGCCGGTAAACACATTGGTCTAGTGTTCTCCGAGCGCCTCATCAACATCCCGCCCGAGATCGGGCCGCCGCTCTACTCGATGCTCATTGACGAGGTCGAGGCCGCCGTGGAGGACAAGGAGCCGTACGAGTTTTCGCACTACTTGATTCTGTCCAAGACGTACCAGGAGGTCGAGTCAACGTTGGACGTGGAGGGCCGCAAGAAGAAAAAGGCCAAGGAGGAGTCGACGGCTTTCTTTTTCCATCCTGAAGATGAGGTGCTGCATCAGCACGCGCTGGCGTACGGGAGCTTTTCCTATACCAGGGAAAACGATTCGGTGGCCGACAGCAAACGAGCGTTCCAAGAGGCGGGCATCAAGCCTGCGGGACACATGATTCTAATTGAAGCGAGCAAGTTTCCCGGCGCTGTCAAGGGCATCACCGACTATCTACAGCCGCGGTAGACGTGAGGCGCGTAGGAAGAAGAAAAGAGTTGCAAGAAAAAATGACTCGCAGCTTCAATGCCAAATAGTGCAACATCTAGTTTGTGCGATGCTATGTCCAAACATTGTCAAATCATTTTGCCCCGCCGCGTTCCCTCTCGGCGCGGTTTATTGCTGCCCCTTCAGCCGCTGCATCAAATACTCCACCTCGACCTCTTTGGTCAACGGAATCACAAAGTCCTCATACATGGCCACGACGGCATCCACGTCAATCTTGACGTGCTCGTCGGAGTCATCTGAGATGGACGGGTCCTTTCCATATGTCAGCGCCTTCAAGCGCAACCTCGCGAGGACAGACTTCTCGACAGCCTTGTTGGTGATGCTCTCCCCGATGCCCAGCCGGTCATTCGCCAGAATCAGCTTGTTGTACTTTTCGGGATCCGAGCGATACTTGGACTCGGCAACAAATTTTCCAAAGTGAATTCTCCGCGAGAGGGCCTGCAGGCACGCAAAGTCTGACGTGGCGGCGGACCCGTAGTTCTCCTGCGACTCGCCGCGGTCCTGGCGTCCAAAGTCGGGACACACGGCGGGCAGGAATTTTTCAATGTAGAACTGCTTGATCTTGTCGTTGACGTTGACGTCGTTGGGGTGCAGGATCTTGGGGTAGTTGAGGGGCTTGAGAATCGGGGTCTGCACGGCATCCGGGAAGAAGGGGTACTCGTCGGGGGATTCGTAGCGGCGGATGAGAGACTGCAGCTTTTCCTGCTCGAAGAAGTACCAGTCGAAGAAGGAGAGGTCGCTGTTGGGGATCTTGATGGCGCCGGGCGTGTAGATTGTCTGGAGGGTGGCGGCGACGGGTCAGTTTTAGGGGTTGGGGCGCCCATCGAAGGGGGATGTGGTTGCAGGTGTACCTTGTTCAGGGCGAATTGGACGCGCTCAATCAGATGAAAGGTGATTGTGTCTTCCAGGCGACTGCGAGGCTAAGAATCAGCTACCGTGTCGCATTGGATGCTTGTAGGCCGGGGACTAACATCAACTGGAAGCGAATCCGAGACAGGTCCAACACCTTGGAGGCGTCGTTCATGTCGACGGCGGAATCCATAGTAGGCAGCGAGGGGCCAGGTGTGGTGCTGCAATGGAGGTAGGGAGTTTGGTTCCTGGTAGGTGCGCAGGAAGTTCGCGAGAGATATACTGAATGGAGAGGGGACGATTTGTGTCGTCTGTACTCGGTGCTGCGACCATGCGGGACGGACCCATTGATGACACGCCTTGGCTTGATCGAGGCTCGAAGCTCCGAACGCGGCGGTTGGCGGTTGGCGGTTGGCGGTTGGGCAGTTGGCGGTTTTTTAGTGCCCAGCCCCAGGTAGTACTTGGACACTGGGGGCCCCCGACACAGGACGCACGTGGCCATATCTAGCCTAGCGGGTCGAGTCACCACTACATGGCAAGTTACAAGCCACGCGCCGGGCGACATCCCAAGTCATCCGGTAACAGAGCACAATATTCTCAAAATATATATATATGTACATATATATATATATATATATATATATATATACACATAAACCCCTGGCAGTATCGTAGACCGTGTCGGCAGGATACGTGTCCTGGACACGCCGCGGATTCCTACACGAGTCGAAAGCTGACCGCCCATACATACATACGTTACATGCCCGCAAGCGCCAATTGGGTGACCGTGCAGCTCTCACGACCTGCATGCATCTGGTCCCTGAGCCTCGACTCTTCGAAGTCCCTTTATCACTCGTGTATTCCGGAAGCAGACCAGACCACGACGTGATTGATGGCGCCGCCCAGGAAAATGCCGCTGGTTGCGCGTGGAGGGCAGCCAACTCATTGCCGTTGCCAGGGTGTAATGAAGCTGAAGCTGTCATGTCTGCGGTATGAGAAGCCAAGGGAAGTACGTACTCTTTGCCGCGTAATTTATTCCCTCGTTTACTTACTACCTGCGAAAGCGATGCCGCGCGCACACGCACACACACACGTATACGTGTCTGGGTGCCGTCACATAACTTGTGATGGCGCCACGAGTCGGCCTCAAATCATGCCATTGCTACTCTTAAAAGTCACATACTAAGTTACCAGTCGTTCCGTTCCGTCGCTACTCGTCACTCGTCACTCGTCAATCTGCATCCACCCAAAGCTACGGGTAGAGCTCGGCGACACCACCAGGCTCCCTCTTTGCTTCCCGCCTCTGCTTAGAGCTTATGTAGTAAACGCCCTTCCTTGTCTGGATCAACGGGTCATTGCTCGACTTGATGCCTCGAACACCGCCACTCTCGGGCGCTGGACTGAACGCCAACTGCTGCTGCTTGTTCGCGTTGTCCTCGGCAACCTTGGACATGTCAATGTCTCCCACCGGCACCCACCTTGTGCTTTTGTACGGAACGGTAGCGTCGTCGAGGACGTCGTCGGGGCCTGCAATGTGCGCAAGGACCTTGAATTTGATGGGCTCGGTGGGGAACCTGTACAGGAGATTATCTTCCAGGTAGTTTGGCTGCTTTGGCGCCTCGTTTTCCGGGAACAGCTGCTCTCCGTCCACGGGGTCCAGGCGGTAGCGCACGTTGACCGTTTCGCCCTCTGCATTGGTCAGGACGTGGGTGTTTGGTTGGTAGTATGTAATCGTGCCGTAGTTGACGGGGTTGGGCTTGGGGGACTCGAAGAATCTCTTTGCGGACTCGTGCGTTCCCAGCCAGGCATCAAACACGCCCTTTGCCTGTTTGAGGTCGACCTGTTCCTTGGAAGCGTCGCCTCCCTTTCTGGCGGCATCGTCAAAGCGCTTCTTGGCAACTGCCAGAGCGAAGAAGAGCTTGAGAAAGGTTAAAAAATCCTGGCCGTTGCGGGTGGCGAACCCGTTGAAGGAGTGCGTGACCATGTCCGTGTGCGTCTTGTCGTCAATCAAGAACCGGATGGCGACTCCCTTGGGAGTGGCCTGGTTATCGGCATCGGGAATGCTGGGGATGCCGCCGCCAACGGAGAACCGGGCTATGATCGGGGTGGAAGGGTTGTGGAAGTGAGGCGCTGTGGAAAGAGATTTCGCCTCGGCGGATGGCTTGAATGACCCTTCGACAAGGAGACCTTTGGCGTGTGCTGGGCAATGGTGAGCTTCGTGGTGTAATCGGTGACGGGGAGGGACCGTTAAGCTGCTTACTTGTGCGGTAGCCGGCGTGGTAGCCGAACATGGTGGTCATTTGGTCGACCAACTTTTGGGGGAGGTCTTGTATCGGGTCGCTTGGCGCGGCAGAAGCGCCAGGCGGCAAAGCAGCTGGGCCGGCGGCCATGGTGAGAAGGGATATCAGGCAAGAGAAAGAAAGCTTTGGACCTGAAAGCAAGTGTGGATGTCTCTTGGAACGTGGACGATGGTGTAGCCTCAAGTCGACGCCGACGCCGACGCCTGGTGACAAGTTTTATCAGAAATGACAATCCTAGTAGGTTCAAAGTTGAGGGGGCGCCGTTCATGAGTATTCTGACTTTTCATCGGGTTTTTGAGGACGCAATCATGGCATCAAATCAAGTTTGCGGCGGGAAACGAAGCTGACTCGGACGGTTTGAGCCGTTTTCCTCGGTTGACAAGTGTCGACTCTGAGAGTTACAGTTACATGCATTCTTGTACGCCTTGAGCTGTCAGCTCGGGCACAGCCTCTGCTGAAAGCGTTGCACCGCCGTTCAGAATATCGGGCAGCGTGTGACGATGGGAGGAGGTTGAGATTTTGCTCGGATGTTATTGGACGCGCCCGGTAGAGCAGCTCGTGAACGAGAGCGAGACGAGGAAGTGTTCAAGTTAAACGCCCGCGGCTGACCTCGTATTGGCAACAGACATTGGCAGTATATGTTGACAGTGGCTTGCATGGAGCACCGAGACCAACTGAGTCTGCATATCCGCACATCGCCGACGCCCGCCATTCTGAAGCAGTCTCTCATATATATACCATTAGACTGCCGCATCTTGAAAAGGCCGAGTCACGGCCTGCATGAATGCTGTCGCCGTTGTGGATAGAAACATCAGGCAATGCCGAAGACCCGCGACGGCATGCCCGGAATGTGTCTGTTGCAAAAAAAACTAGGCTATTCTCGCGATGCTGGTGTTGGGTGCTGGCCACGGGCAGACTGCGTCTTACATACATGTGTGATTTTTTTTTTCTTGCCTTGGCCTGACAAGTCGTCATCTCGAGTCCAGCCATGAGAGCTAGGCAGCGGCGAGATAGAAGTCATGGCTCACTACAAACATGGACATGGCACGGATTTGTGTGAGACCGGCGAGTATATAAACCGACGGTGCAAGGACAGTTGACGAGACCTGGAATCCTCAAAAAACTGCGTCCTTTGCCTTTGAACTCATTGACTTACACGCTCTCGAATTCCGTCAGTTCTCTCTGCCTCTAGTTCATTGCTTTGACTACCAGTCCGCCGTCCAAAATGGCTGTTTTGTCGTGCATCACAGACAGGCTGCAGCAGATTCTCACCGGAGACAACACTCACGATGTGGAGCAGGCCACGATGGAGGTCTGGGACAAGGGAGTCTTCCTGAATGAACTCCAGAGACAAGGGCTGGCGTTCACCACGGACAGAGACGGCAACGTCAGTGGGAACCTCGTGGCTACCAGGGGCCTCAAACAGGGAACCTACAAGGGCACTCGCCTAGCCCTGACTGAGCTTTACAACTTGATTCAGGAATTGTATGTTGACCCGGGCGGCTTGCTGGATCGCACCTCGGCCTGACGTGGCTGACCTCTTCTGTAGTGCCTGTTCTCAATTCGACACCCTGGGTTTTGAACCCATCATTCCCCAGCGGCGAAGTCTGGAAAAGAAGCGGGAAAAGTATCAATGGAGCAATCCGGCTGACGGATATCCTCCACATCTGAGTGAGGTTCCCCAAGACCAAACGGAACAGGACCCAAATGTTGGCCATATCTTCGACCAGAAGGAACTCGGGTCCGTCAGCAAGCTGGCCATGGCCGCGAGTTTCATCATCCCGAAAGATATGCGCAAAGAGGACGGACCGTTCTTCGGACCTACCCTTGCCGCTGTCGAGTCGCACAATCGCTCGCATCCGAGCCCCAGCACAGACATCATGGACGGTAAGAACATTGGCTTTCTGACGGATTGGTTTAGCGACGCTCGGTTTGCGCAGCAGCACTTCAGTGGCGTCAATCCCACCACCATTGCCACTGCTCCCCACGCAAAGGTCAAGGAGTACGTGGTCGAGGCAGAGAGGCAGGGCCTCGAGGACGTGGCAATGCTGCTGGAGGCGGGCAAAGACCTGCTCATTCAGGACTACTCCTACTTCCGTGAGGCAACCGGCGTTGGTGACAGGGAGACGTTTGAGAATATCATCCTGGACGAGCACAAGGATGCAAGTAAAGCGAAGGCGTCCCGGTATGGCTGCGCGTCCGTCATCATCTTCCAACTCCACGACGATGGCCGCCTCCACCCCTTGGCCATCACCATCGACTACAAGGGCAGCCTCGACAAGTCCGTCACCCTCTTCAACCAGCGGCTGCACCCCGATGACCGCGGGCTGGTTCCCGAGGCCGAGGACTGGCCATGGAGGTACGCCAAAACCTGTGCGCAGTCGTCGGACTGGGCAAGACATGAGATTGCCGTGCACCTGGTCGACACGCACTTGGTTGAGGAGGTCATCATCGTTGCCACGAACCGGACCGTCCCCGAGGACCATCTCTTGTACGAGCTCCTCAGCCCTCACTGGTTCAGAACTCTGGCATTGAACAAGGCCGCCCGCGCGGTGCTGGTGCCCTTGGTCGTTGCCAGAATCTCTGGCTTCGGACCAAGCACGGCGTACGATTCTCCTGCAACCAACCGCTGCTTCAAGTTCATCCAACACGCCTTCAGGAACTTCAACTTTGTCGACAAGTACATCCCAAACGATCTCAAGAAGCGCGGCTTCGACATGGAGGGCAACACAACCTACAAATACCGCAACTACCCGTACGCCACCGACATGTTCCTCCTCTGGCACATCATCCGCGACTTTGTCCAGACGGTCCTGGGCACCAAGTACAAGACCTGCGCCGACGTCAGACATGACCGCTACATCGCTGACTGGTGCGTCGAGATCCAGACAAAGGGTCAACTTGCCAGCTTCCCAACCATTACAACCGTCGACGAGCTCGTCGACGCCGTCACCATGTGCATCCACATTGCCTCCCCCCAGCACACGGCAGTCAACTACCTCCAAGACTACTATTACAGCTTCGTTCCCTCCAAGCCGCCCGCCCTGTGCCGGCCTCTTCCCACCTCTCTCGAGCAGCTCACGGGATACACGGAAACGGAACTTACCGAAGCTCTCCCCATCGGCACCGAAGATCCCAAGTGGAAGGACTGGCTGCTCGCCGCACAGCTGCCCGAGCTTCTCAGCTTCAAGGTCGACCAAAGGTACAACCTGTTGACGTATGCAAAGTCACTGTACAATGTGAACAAGGACAGGACGGAGAGAGAGAACGAGAGGCCTGACCACGAGGTGATGAAGGAGGCGGCCGCCAAGTTTTACAGCCAGCTGAAGAACTGCGAGTTTCTGTTCAAGATGGTTTCCGAGCTCCAGACGCCGGGAGCCATTGAGTACAAGGTTTTGCAGCCCGAGTACTCGGCTGTTTCGATTTTGATCTGAGCACGGCTGGTAGCTTCTCGAGGGCCATGAGGGTTATGGGCTCAGTGTTTATGGTCTGGAAGAAGGAACGTTTCCTCGTAGGCTTTGTGTCTGGCTACTAGTAATGCAGATTGTACTTGGCATAGATATAGCTGGAGGCAGTAGAAAATATAGATCTATACTGTTTCACTCGACCGGGCGGTTCTATGTTGTCATTCTTCCACACGGTCCACAGGTCGAACAAGAAGAGGCTGCGGACTCTTTCTCGACTTGGCATGTGTGGGCTTGGCCGAGTTCAAGGCGTGCGTGCCGGCATTGAACATGATTGGGGAAGCGAAACGCGGTGCTGTGGAGGAGGAGAGAGAAGTGAAGAACAAGATGTAAACACAACAACTAACAACACAACGTACTCAACATGGCAGTAAATGTGGGTCAGATGGGCTGCGCTTGCCAATGACTGCTTCGATATAGGGTAGCCACGTGGGGAGGCATAACCCCCCCCCCCTTCTGGGGCTTGGCGCCAGGTGATGCAACACTGAGCTGCAACTGGTCCTTGCCGCAATTTGTTGTTGTTGCCTCTCAACACGCGCAGCCGGCAGCTCTGCATCCCCCCCCCCCTTTCCAATGCGGCCCTTGCTCTGTTAGACATCTCTACTTTGTCTCGTCAGACCCTCGGTCGGCCGTCGAGCCATGGCTGATCAGGACAACAGTCACTATGACTTGCTTGACGATGTCGACGACGAGCGATCCATCATCTCGGTACGTCTGTCCAAGCCTTGTCCAGCCTCATCCATGCAAGTCACATCTGGAGCACATCTCTAGTCTGCACGTCTGCACGTCAACGGTCCAATCGATCCCCCTGATCCCTCGCCGTGCCCGAGGAGCGCAGCCGCCGGCAGCGTCGCCATGGTCGTGTGACGGCCGAATCTTGCACGTCGCAGCTCCGCGCGCACACCAGACTCAACTTGCCCAACCCGGCCGTCGAGCCGTCCCTTTGCTTCTGCACTGATTATGGGCAAGTCCTGCTAACATGGCCATTGATATTGTGCAGACTCGCGGCTTGGAGGCGTTCGGGCGCAAAGTCACTGCCACGGCCTCCCATCTCATGGCCCCTAATGCCGAGGCCACCACGCATCATTACCAGACGGCTATGAAGCAGGTCCACAAGCAGTTGGCTCGTCCGTCCGTACAGCAGAGCGTCTTTTCTATGTCCCGAAGAACGCCCACCGAGATTGTGCGCTCGAAGCTGTCCACCGCCGAGATTCAGCATCGCGCCGTAAGTTTTCTGTCCGACGACTTGCTATCCAACATCCCCGAGGATGACAATACCTACTCGCTGTTTCAAGGCTTCAAGGCCAGCTTCCCCGAGATGACAGAAGACGGCAAGAAACACCGTCGCCGCGTATCCAGGGGCAGAAAGTTGCTGCAAGACAGGGAACGAATCGACTGTTCCGGATCTGCGGCCAGCTTGTCGCACGTGCAAAAAGAAAAGGCTGCCATGATGCATGAATTCGAGCTTCTTGGCATTCGGAAGAGCATGGCCAGTAGCGAAATTCGCGAGATAGACAATAAAGTCGCAAACCTGCAAGGGATGCGCAAGATCATTTTGGAACGACTTGCAGGATTGGAGCAAGAAGAGGCGCTTCTGGAACACGACAGTGCGTGTGGCTTTTGCCCGTCCCTCTCGTCCCTCTCTCTGTGTCGTCGAGACAAAGAATTACGGGTATTTTCGTTGAAAAGGCTAATTCTCATGCCCCCTGGCAGTCATCGACGTTGAGGGACGCTTAGAAGTAGCTCAAGCTCTAGCAGACGAGGCCGAGGTCATTGCACGAAACACCCCGACCAAGGACGAAGTTGATCTCGTTGGTGATGCCGATGATTACGATCCCGAATTCATGTCACAATCTGTATATGACAGGCTGCCCGGCTCAACAAACAGTACACCAAAGAGACCAAAAAAGGTTCATCGCCGCAAGTCCATGCCTATCCTTCACGAACATTTCGAGGCCGGATCCAACATACGACAGCTTCGCGCGCACAAAGACACCGTAACTGCCCTGGATTTCGATGCGCCTTTTGGCGTCATGGTGACTGCTGCTCTCGACGACACCGTCAAAGTTTGGGATTTGAACGCTGGACGGTGCATAGGAGTGTTGGACGGACACGCGGCCTCTGTTCGAGCATTGCAAGTTGAAGACAACATTCTCGCCACTGGCTCTGCGGATGCCACCATCCGTCTGTGGGATTTGAGTCGGTCAAGCTACGATCCCCATGGAAACAGTTACGGCGAAGATGGGGACGAGGACGAAGATGCCATTGCGTTTGAGAACCCGCACGACCAGCCCATTGACCCTCCTGAAGACAGCATGAAGGACTGTGAGTTGTACACGCTGCAATCCCACGTTGACGAGGTCACAGCGCTGCACTTCAGAGGCGATGTTCTCGTCTCGGGCTCCGCAGACAAAACCATTCGACATTGGGACCTCGAAAAGGGTCGCTGTGTGCAAACGTTGGACGTCATGTGGGCAGCGGCTCAAGCATCGGCCGCCTCCAGCATCGACGGCGGCTGGAGGCCAACCGGCCGCGCGTCAAACAGCTCGGCTGACTTTGTGGGAGCCTTGCAAGTCTTTGAATCAGCACTAGCATGCGGAACGGCCGATGGCATGGTGCGGCTGTGGGATCTGCGAAGCGGTCAAGTTCACCGCAGCCTTGTGGGACACACCGGTGCCGTGACATGTCTCCAATTTGATGACGTGCACCTTGTAACTGGAAGTTTGGATAGAAGCGTCAGGGTAGGTGGCCCAACCTTGTGCTCCGTTCACGATCAAGAAAGTTTGCTCACACACACTCTTTAGATATGGGATCTCCGCACAGGCGCCATCTTCGACGCTTACGCATACGAAAGCCCCATAACGAGCATGATGTTTGATGCTAGAAGAATAGTGAGCGCTGCGGGAGAAGACGTGGTCAAAGTGTACGATAAAGTTGAAGGTAGGCAGTGGGATTGCGGCGCGGGCATCACCGAGGAGGGCAAGAATCCCGGCATCGTAGAGCATGTGCGTGTAAGAGACGGTTATTTGGTTGAAGGCAGGAGAGATGGCTTTGTAGGTGTATGGACATGTTAGGCATTTACAAAGTATCTCGCTCATCGAGAGGTCATTGAGAGATGAAGCTCCATACACGCACGACGCGAGACAGCAATAGCCCAGCCGAGTGTAGGGTAGCGGTTTCGCACACAAGCCGGCGAATGGAACAGAACATGAGGCACTACAACGAACTTTGTGCTGGTATTAAAAAAGTCCACGCACATCTTGTGCGATGGCTCGACAGTATCTACTTGGCCATGAAACGAGAGCCAGCGCTGGCTGGCTCTGACACGCAAGCAGCTGGACGACGTCGTCTGTCTGGGTGCCTTCTCGATCTGACCTCCAGCCTGGTGGAGCTCCGTCTTCACCTCTCTCTCGCGACAACAGCTTCGCCAACACCAAAATGGAGCACCACTGTGGCTCATCAACCACAAACCATGGCCCCCCGCGACGAAATCCTGTCATGGTATCGCGCCGCCGCAGAGACGCTCATCAGCACGCCGACGAAAGATGACCCCGACCCGGAAAGCACCGCCTTGAACGACCTCCTCCAGCGCCAAGCCAAATCCCTCCTCGCCATGCACGACGCCGTCAAAGGTTGCACCCCTCGTCGAGCCAACGAGTCCCTTCTCACAAGAAGGCTAGGCGACCTCATTGCCATATCCACGTCCAGGTTCTACGCCTACCGCTTCGACCTACTGCCCTATCCGTGGCGGCAGATCCACACCGACGCCCTCATCCTGTCCACCTTCCACGACATACTCTGCTACTTGGGCCAGAGCACCTGGCTAGACGACCAGGCGCTGGACGGCGTCGTAGAAAAGCTAGACAGGGCGGTCATAACGGCGGGGGGGGCCGGCGTCCTCGGAGCCGCGTGGATAGAAAGGACGCTCCGGCTCGTCGAGCGTCTGTGCGACGCCGCCCAAGGCGATGGTGAACCGGAGGCGCCAGCAAGGCGGGCAAGGCGGGCAAGGCGGGCAGACGCCTTCTTCCCCCCCGAGGAGCCGTACACGCGGCCGGCGCTGTCTCCGGCGAGAACCTGTCCCGCCCGCAGGGGCTGGTCCCTCGACACGTTCGAGAAGTACATGAACGGGGACTCGCCTCCGCGGCCCGTGCTCTTCACCGACCTCGTCACCACCTGGCCGGCGCTGACGGAGCGGCCGTGGAAGTCGCCGTCGTACCTCCTCTCGCGGACCTTTGGCGGCCGGCGCCTCGTGCCGGTGGAATTGGGCCGCAGCTACGTCGACGCCGGCTGGGGGCAGGAGCTCGTGCCCTTCAAGACGTTTCTGTCGAGGTACGTGTCGCCGGGGGCGGCGGGGGAAGTGGGATACCTCGCGCAGCACGACTTGTTCGGCCAGATCCCCTGCTTGAGGGGCGACATTTCCATCCCGGACCTGTGCTGGTCGAGCGTGCCTTTGCACCCCACCGACCCGGCCAAGAACAAGGCGCGGCTGCGCGTGCCGCTTGTGAATGCCTGGTTTGGGCCCGCCCGCACCATTACGCCTCTTCACACGGATGCCTATCACAACTTGCTGGTGCAGGTCGTCGGGACCAAGTACGTGAGGCTGTATCCGCCGTGGAGCAAGGCCATGCGGCCGAGGGGGGAGGAGGCGGGCGTGGACATGAGCAACACGAGTCTGTTGGATCTAGGCGTCGTCGAGGGGTGGGATGACGATCAGGACTCGCAGGGGATGACCCTGGAGGAGAGGGAGGCAGCCAGGAGGGAGCTGGCTGCCGAGGAGTATTGGGAGTGCGTCCTGGGAGAAGGGGACACGCTGCTGATTCCCATGGGCTGGTGGCACTACGTGAGGAGTTTGAGTGTGAGCTTCAGCGTGAGCTTCTGGTGGAACTAGCGCGAGCGCACGGCTACTCAAGCCACGGCGGTCAGGCACGCAGTGTTTGGGATGAAAAAACTGGAAATCAAAGAAGTTAACTAGACGACTTCACCTTCTGCCGACTTGCCCCCCCTCCTTGCCTTGGCACCGGCTTTCAACGCTTCCCACTTCTCCCGGTACTTGTCCAGCGTCTTTTGCATTTTCCGATTGTCCTTCTCCAGCCGCTCCGTTTGTTTCATGGCGGCGGCCAGTTGCTCTTCCATGTCGAGTGTCTTCCTGCGCAGCGCTTCATCCCCAGCCACGTTTGCCGCATGTGCCGGGGCAGTCGGCGAGCCGGGTCTCATTACGCGGTACGACTCTGCGAGAGCCATTGCTGAGTTTTGGGAGCTCGCCTCGAATGCGTGCAGACGCTTCGACACAACGTCCAGTGTGTCCTTTAAGGATCTGTTCTGCAGGCTGAGTTCTTCAATGGTATTCCGGAGGTCCTTTTCAGTTTTATGCGCCGTGCCCAGCCTGCGTTTGCTGCCAGAGGAGACGGGGACGAGTGTCTCGCGAGCATCCACAAAGTCGTCGTCTTCGTCTTCCGGGCGAGAGTGGTCTGTGTCGTTGCTGTGCAGCGATGCGCCGAGACGACGCTTCTCCTTTTCAGCATATGTCAGGATGTTGGCGTAGGACAGGGTGTGGCCGGTGGTGGGGACGACGTAGAAGGACTCGTTGGTAGGGTGGCCCTCGCGGGCGAGGGCGCGCATGGTAGCCTTTGAGTATATCTTTGACAGGTCCGGGTCCAGGTTGAACGAGGTTGGCGGTTGGCGCGGAGCCCTGCGCTTCGGGGGGGACGATTCGACGGGCTGCTCAATCGTGGACGGTTCATGCACGGGCTCCTCCTGGATCAGGGGGAGACCGGCGAAAGCGAGAGGGGCAGAGATCTTGTTGATGAGGCTCCCGAAGGTATTGTAGAACCGAGCGTACCCGGCGTCTTCGCTCACGACTGCCGAAGCCGTGGCTTGATCGGCCCAGGGCTCAGAAGCAGGGCTCTTTTTGGCGCGGGGCTCCGTCTTGGGGGGAGCCATGGGCGGGACCCAAGTAGGCTTGCCAGGCTGCGTGTCGATGATGCTCTGCATCTTGGACCTCGACCCATGGCGGCGAGGATGCGGGTCCACGTTTCCAGGAGCCTGGTCATTGGAAATGCTCGGGCTGAGCGGCTGTCCTCGATACTTGGACCGGATTCCCCTCGCGGAAGCCAGGTTGCTCGCAATCGAAGACGACATTTCGCGAGCCGCGAACCCCTTCTGTGTCAGACTGGGCATCTTCTTGCCGGACTGCTGGGTGGGCGAGCTGTTCTTTTCGTCGAGCGATGGCTTCTCGCTGACATGCTCTTCGCCGTTCTGGGAGACGGGGTCCGGCTGCAAGTTGAGGAGCTCAGCAAGGCGTCGATGGTGCTCCTCGAGAAGCTTCAGAGTACGAAGGGCTTCCACGCTGGTGGTGTTGCGGGCGGCATTGGCAAATTCGCCGGCGGCGAGGGTGTGCTCGTTGATGGCGACGGTCGTGTCAGCAGACTGGCGGGTTGCAACGGCGGCTGCGGCGGCATGGTCGTGAGCCTTGACGACCGGAGAGGACTCCATCCCGGGCGTGTCGATGCGGCGGCGCAACGAGCTGGTATGCGATTGTAGGAAGGTGGTGATGGTTGACGTGAAGTGGATGAAGGCATCGGAGCCTCGAGGAACATTGCCAAGTCAGCCAACTTCCGCATCTGGACATGTTCCAAGTGGGGAATGTGGAGAAGTGGAGCAGCAAGCACGGCGAGCAAGTACCAAAGTATCGTGCCGAAGTGGACGTGACGACAATGTGGTTTTCATCCTCCAACTATGCGGTTTCTGAGCAATTAGGGCCATGTGAAAAGAATCCGTAATCTTGTCCTCCTTGTCCTTTGGACTCTGCGGCTGGCGACATGTTGGAATGAGATTTACAGACACACACATATGATCCTGGCCACCACAAAAATCAAGCAGGACTCCTTTCATCCTTATGCAGTCAAGGGAGCCCAATTTTCACATACGCGCGACTCTCCCCGTAGCTTTGAGATGATTTTGAATCCACTTGGTGCTCACCAGAGCCGCCAAGGAAGGCTCTCTTCTCACCATGGTGAATATTAGAGTTGGCGGCCTTTGCTATCCCAGGCGTGGAAGAAGAAACCGCGTTGTGTGGAGTATATAAATACTGTAGATCAACTCCCCCCAGTAGCAACAAACCCTTGTTCCCGCGCGAACCAGATCCGAGGTTTTTATGAATGCCCCGAGTTCGAGGCCTCGAGTTGTGGTGCATCAGCACAGTTCGGAACCCTACTGGCATTCGGTGACGGAAGAGGTGGCCAAAAATACACGAGCTCCGGGCGAAATACCTCTCTCGGAAGGATCGGCTGCTCGGTTTAAAGGATAGCGTGGAGCCACCACCGGCACTAGTCGGTCGGTTCAAGACTGTTGAACTTGCAGCTGCCTTTGGAGCATCACTTGCCGCAGGTATATAGTCTTTCTCATAGAAATGACCACTACTACTATGCGGCAAGGCTACAGAATGGTGCACGGTTTTACAGTTCGGCATTGCTCGAGGCCCAGACATGGGAATCACGAATCGTACGATTATCATAGGGGGCTTTGGGACAGTAGAAACCCAGGGCATCATGGCTGTGGCAGCCGGCACGTGAGCCTTGGGGACCACGGGGATGAAGTGCCATGGAACCAGTGACAGATATCAAGCTTAGGGAGCAGCTCAACTCGGCGGCATCAAGTGGCACAGCGCGGGGATATGAGATACGGGAATTCCATTCTGCACCGTGGAGTCTGAGCTCCGAGGCAGCAAGGCTGTTGAAGCGTACGCTAGGAAATCCGTCTTGACCACGACCCTGGTTGGTTGTAAGATGGCATTCGACTTCGACTTGGGCCCTTCCGGATTGTCCTGCCCGCCGTTGATGTAGTTGTTGACGTGAGGCCGTCACCAGCAGCTCAGGTAGAGATGCTTGGCGGCGGCACAATGTCAATGCGGCCCTGCCCTTGTCGTGACTAGTAGGGGAGGTCGAAGAACACGGGGCCTGCGAGCGGTGTTGCCTCGTCTCCTGAAGACAAGTAGCCTCGTACGTGCCAAGCCCCTTCACCTTGTCCGTGGCAGAGGTCAATATCGAAGAGTCGATGCGCACCTCGCCATCGGCGCCCGGCGCCTAGTGTCGGGACACGAAGCTATCGATGTGGTTCTCCTGCCAGGTTGTGTCGCCCGTATCTGTGCTCTCGTCCACGTCCACGTCTTCCACGTCTTCCATTACTTGCACGCCTTCCACGTCCGCATGGTCCGTCTGTAGATCGTCCACGTCCGCGCCGTCGTCCGCCTTCCACCGGCCGATCCAGTTGTCGTCCGCCGGCTTATCCGTCGTGCCAGGAACTTGGATATCCCTCTTCTGCGCGATGCTGCCGCCAGAGGGCTTGCGCCATTGGTTGCGAAATTCCACAGCTGAAGCCACACGCGAGAAACTCGCCAACACCAGTGCGACGACTGCAACGCAACGCATTGTCGAAAAACAAGCTGTCGATGTATGAGCTGGGTGAAGTTTCGATAAAAGATGGCAATCGCCGGCTGATGGTTTTCACATGGCGGTACCTTTCCCAGAGACGACCGGCCTCTTTTATGCAAGTAACCAGGAGCAGCCATCTGCCATCAACAGCCCTGCAAAGCCAGTCTGGAACGAATCCATCCATCACGTCGAGACCTTGCCATTCCGGTCGGTGGTTTGACGCTTCGTCGCCTCTTGGCACAATCCTTTGGTCCTCGCAGCCCAGGGATGCCCACCGCCATGTCATGTTCAACATCGCTCGGGTGACGATGGAGCCGGCGGCCGGCGAGGACAAAGAAAACGCTACTCTTGGGGCGGCATACCTTCCGAAGGAGTTTTCCGCACGCGCCTTGGTCCATCTCCCATGTGAGCGGAGCGATGGATTCGCTTAGAACAGGGCGTCATCGACTCCAGCCGCCAGAGGCACGTCAAACTGCGACGCTAACCCATCCATCTCCCTTGGCCCAAATCGAGCCCCGTTGAAATTTGATCCTGTGTCTCGAGGTGGAGTCGTCAAGAAGGCGGGCTACAAGACAAGATGGCGTGTTGGCGTAACCCGAATAACTACCTTGATCGGCATGTAATGATAGCACGCGGGCTTCTTCCTTGGCAGCACGACTCGCCCACTTTGCCGCACGAAAGTCCTGTCACCATGCTCAGTAGCCTATTTTCGTTGTCTGTCGTTGGTTGTTGTTGTAATCGTGCCCGCCCCACTTTATGTGGTTCGGCTAGCAAAAGCCCTCACCACCAAAGGTGGTGCTCGACAGCAAGGCGGGCCGGACACCAAGGCGGGCCAATTTTCAACCTAGACGCGTTGAACCGCGAAAATGGCTGCAACTAGCGTCCAAACGGCAAAAAGCGATGTCGAATTACGTGTCAACGAGGCTCTTGAGTATATTGAGGAAAATCCAGGTGCAAAAATTCGCTCTGTGGCGAAGAAATTCAACGTGCCTCGTAGCCGGCTTCAACGACGTGCTAACGGCGTTCCTGCTAGGAAAGGCCATCCAGCAAGAAATACAATGCTTTCACGAGAAGAGGAAGTTGCTTTATGTAACTATATCGATCGCCTTGATAAGGCCAACTTCGCTGTACGACCTGAATTCATTACAGATGCTGCACATTTAGTTGTTACAAAGCGAAGAATCGCCGACGGATGGGTAAGCCGCCCGCAAGCATGACACGACCGTGGCCACCGTTGCGCTAACATTGAGAGGGCGGCACGCGCAAGATCAAAACGATACACCATGCATCCGTGCTCTACGAGCGAGCAACCGAGGACCGGACACGATACCAGGGGCGCACACGAGCAGACTTTGATACTCTACACCAGTCTGTCCACGAGTTCCGTGTCGTGGATAGATCCGACGCGCATACTCGGGAGATTCGGGGCGCGGAGCGGCCCTCGGCGCAGGCGACTTGGCCGGTTCAAGGGCACGAGCACGAGCACGAGCACGAGCACGAGCTCGACACTAATACCTTGTTGAACCAGCTTTTCGCGGAAGTCAGCAATAACCTCGACGAGCAGGGGGCCTGGTCTCAATGGTGGCCGGCGATTGATCAGGTGGATCTTTAATGAGCTGCGTAATTACATCCGGGGTTTTTTTTTTCGTTGAAGCTTCCAATGAATGAGTGACGACCTTTGATTTTTTTGATTTTTTTTTTAAAAAGGGCTGTAATATCTGGTTTTCTATACATGTCCTATTTTTATTTCCCGGTCTAGAAAAACAGTCAACAGATAATGCACCTCTTCATATGGCTCCCCTCCCGTCACCGCCAACAAATGCATACCTGTCGCGTCAACCATTCGCCGTTTCTCCTTCCAATCACGCCTTTGCAAAGACCTTTCTCGAGTTCATCAGGCGAACAGCAAGCATAAAGAGCATGCCGACAAAAGGCGCCACAACCACGCCAAGAGGACGTTTTTTGAAGCAGCTAAAAAGGCACGTAAATGGCGTCTGGATTCTGTACTAGATCTACTAGAAATTTGGGACGAGAAGGGTGTACATTATAGGCGAAGAGGTTAATAGCGTTATTAGGTTGAAAATTGGCCCGCCTTGGTGTCCGGCCCGCCTTGCTGTCGAGCACCACCTTTGGTGGTGAGGGCTTTTGCTAGCCGAACCACATAAAGTGGGGCGGGCACGATTAGTTGTCGTTGTCGGTGTTGCGGCTTTGCCAATGGCTCCTCGCTTCTTGCGGACGCCCCTGGTTGAGGAAAAGAAAAGACAGGCGTGGCCGAGGTTCACGTCAAGCCTGCCTTTGTTTCGAAGCAAAAATCGCGAAAACTAGCTCCTGTCACGTACAGGCTCAGCAGCCGGGGAGGCCTCGCATGCCACTGATACGACAACTGTCGAGAACGTATCAAACATCACGCCCATCAGGTACAAGCTACCTCGGGAGCCAAAGGACGGCGTGAAAAGTATCGAGCACGTTTCGCTTCCCCAGATGCAGATACAGTGAGCGGCGTCGAGTAACGTTGCCGAGGTTCATCGATACTTGGACTGCAGCTCGCGGCTCGTAAAGCGGCCCAGAGACGCAACGATGTTAGCACGCGCTGCCGCTCTCTGCCTCGAGCCACGGGGGCAATATCAACTCGAGAGCTACGTTCCACCCGTCAAAGCGATGAGTCCATTTCCGGACCGGGCTACGCCGTCGGACGGCGGAGAGAGTCGGTGAAATCACGCCCGAAGGGTGCGCGGGAGGCCCGTGATTCGTGAAGGGGCGGACTCGACTTGATGGATATTCACGATCGCGGCAAGTTCGCACCCGACGCGGGACAATGCCGTTTCCGTTAGAGATCATGGGTCCGGGGAAGCCGGGGAAGCGAACAAACAATGACGAGCCGTTCTGGAAATCGAAGCCTCTGCGGGCGCCACCCGGGGAAATCACAGGAATACGAATGGCCCTGCGGCGAGGGAGCATCGCGTTCCCCTCGTGCTAGGCGGCAGATGCTCTCTGCAAGCGACGCTGCCTGCGTTTGAAACTCGCTCGGACCGAGTAGTCCCTGCGGCATTTGTGCCTCGCTCGCATCAACTTTCAAGCACATGCTTGTGACGTGCCGTCATGCAGGCGTATACGATGTCCAACGACGATACGATGTCCAACGACGGACGCCAATGCGAGACGTCTGACTGACCATCTACTGCCCATCGGGCAGGCCGCAGTCCAGGATCGGTCAACTCAACTCTGCTCGCCTCTCATGTCCACGCTGGGATAGGGATATATAAACGGCAGCACGGTCGAGGACGGAGGGAAAGCTCGAGGCCATCACCGCCACCACCACCACTCGATCCAGGCTCAAGACCAAAAAGACCGCAGGACATGGTCTCAGCTCATCACCATGAAGTTCACCACACTCCCCATTCTCTTTGCCGCAGCGACTGCTGTCACGGCCGAGGAGTTCGAGCGTCTGCACCTCCCAAGTCCGCAGAACTGGATTGCAGGCAGCAGACTGTTCCCGGGGAGCATCATTGCGGGATACAACGCCGACTACGACAAGTACGATGCAAAGTCGTGGGCTCAACATGTCCTGACCCAGTGCAAAGGCTATGAGGCCTGCACGTCGTCCCTTTCCTTCTCAGGTAAGAGCTCTTTGGAGGCACGCTGCGGGAAGTATGCTGAGGAACAGGCATCAATTCTGGAACCCCCAAGGAGAGAGCGTGGTTCGGATACGTCTTTCGCGGTGGGAAAACGAAAGAGTCCGATTTTCAGAGAGCGGATGATGTCGAGGACAGCGTTGTCTATGTCAAGGACGACTAGACGTATACGTCGTCACGTCGACCGAGAAGGCATCTTGGGCCGTGTCCCAACGACGCTCCCGATGCATGCTGCCCAAAAGTCATGCTGTTGTACTTTCATTGAGTCGTCTACTGTACTTTCATTCTATACACTGTGCGCTGTGCTACATCGGAATCTACTGGTAACAAAGAAAAATATGGGCCTCAGGCCCTTGACGGAACTCCTCTTCTCGCCGTACTAGCAAACTTGTCCCTCCGTGCCGCCTCGTCTCTTGCATCGTAATATTGACCGGCATCCTCCACGCCTAGCTTCTGAGGCCGGGGAGGCGGAGGCGGTGCATGAACTGGGGCCTGGTCGCGCGAGATGCCGTAGTGCTGCTGGTCCCAGCTCTGTCCAGACTGATGACCCATGGTCCGGTTCACATCGTGGTGGGATTCTGGGGCAGCAGCGGGGCGTGGACGAGCGTCAGGCATGAGGCTTTGTCTCGGGCCATCTTCGTACACGGAGCGGCGTTGCTCCTGGAGCTGCCTCGGCTGGGCTTGTTGGTAATATGATGCCTGGCTAGAAGGCTGTCTCTTGGGCGGATGCTCATCGTCACTTGCCACTTCCGTCTCGTCTTCGTATGTTCTCAAGTCGCTCCTCATTGCCAGGCCAGCGCACATGCTCCTCGCCTCCTCGATGCTCTTCTTTTGGGCCTTGAGTTTCGTCCGCCGCTCTCTCGTCTCCTTGGTCTCGGCCGCAATGCTCTCAATCGTCGAGTCGGGCATCTGCAGGATCTCGATGGGATTGAAGAGTCGCAGCATACCCAGGAGCAAATGTCGTTCTGCGACTTGGGTGATGACATTTCTGGTAAAGATTCTCCCTGTCAGGTCGTAGTATATGAGCATCTTTTCAAGGACCTCCTCGGCCTCCGTGTACGTGCCGCCATTCTCAGTCGCTTCTGCACGCCACTTGCGCAGACGGTCCTCGTACTCCGGGTCGTAGGGCTGCACCTCGAGCTCCATATCGTCTGTCAGTCTTGCAAGTTCCTTCTCTGCCTCTTCCATGAGATCCTTCATTTTGACTTCGAGGAAGTGATATCGTAGCGGATCACGCATTCGGATGGGCCACACGTGGTCAATGACTTCGGCGAGGAACTCGTTGCAGATGACGCCGAGGTTGTCCTTGTATTCCCGAGCCAAAGAGGGCCACTTTCGCGAGTAGTCTTGGAAGAGAATGTATGGCGCGCGTGGGTTCGAGTCCAGCGGGAGCTCGTTACCGCGAACTTGGCAGAGAAGGGGCTCAACCTCCATCTGCGCAAAGTCCTTCTTGGATATACCGGCAACAGCAGGGGGGGAAACATGCTGTCCATCGATAGTGGTAGTGCTGGTGGCGGCATCGGCAAAGTTGAGATGCCTGCCTTGCTGGCGAAATAGGCGTGAAAAGCGCTCGCTTTCCTCGCGAGCGCGAGCGCGGAGTTTGTGCGCAGGTGTACCCTTGGGACTGGACTGCCGGGCAAAGAATTTCTCCCCAAAGGGATTCTTGTAGTTGCCGTTGACGGCGGGCGTAACGAGGTTGTTGGAGGCTGAGAATAGTTCACCCATTTCGAACCGCATCTCTTCGATGGTGTCTTTGGCATTGCCCAAGGTCTTAAGTTCGGCATCACACCGCTCGAGGGCCTCTTGGATCTGCCTTCGTAGGGACTGCACATGCTTTCCAATGTGTCTCTGCAGCTGGGTGCTCAACTTCTGCCGCAGAGACGCGACTCCCCACATATGAGGAGGCAAAGAAGACCAACGGCCTCTGGTGAAAAAGTCTGCTTCCTTGCGGGCGCGGTCTGGCGGGCTCAGCCACTGCTCGGTTGGGCCCGGGTTGAGAAGAACGTACCACCCCAGGTTGAAGTGATTTTGGCGATCCTTGTTCATGACGAGTTCGATAAATTTTTCCTCGAGACCGATTTGCTCCGTCATGTCGGGCTTGGTCAGGACGCCGATTGTTCGCGAGCCCTTGGGGTCAAACTGCCTTGCCTTCTTCAAGATGGGTGCCTGGACATAGTCGGTATTTCCGCCGATGACGGCGAGGATGATGGTGCGGGAACTCTTCATGTATCGGTCGGAAAGGGCCTCGATGGTCTGGATATCAGCCTCAGACTGGTCTCTGTTGGCAATGCGCACCAGACCAGGCAAATCGACCAGAGTCAAAAGGGGCATGTCAGGGCCGCTCTTGTCAATGACGTGAATGTCCCGGGCAGCAAAGCGGCCAGGAATGTCGCGAGGAGCAATGAGGTTCGTAGCGTCTCGCATCATCGTCTCAAAAGGAACGTCTCCAGTGATGTTGCCTCCATATTGCGCGAGCCGAGCCTGGTCGTTGAGGGGCCGACTCCTGTCTGGGATGATGGAGACCCTGAGAGAAGTCTCCTTTGCTCGTCGCAGTCGGATCTCTGTAGCGAAGCGCGTACAAGCACCGGCGTCTCTGGGAAACGGCGTGCCAGAGATGGCCTCCAAGACGGAGCTCTTCCCCGCAGACTGGTCGCCAACGACGACGATTTGCGGCAGCTTGACGTTGTCCAGCTGTGCATATTGCAGCTTGTCGATGAAATCGAGCAGGCTGCGCTGTTCGGTAGCCAGGCCCTGGGTATCCAGGGACGACTCGATAGATGGAGCCATGTCTGGACTGTGAGAATCCGGAACGGTGACGCTTTTGTCTTTTTTGATGGTGTAAACGGACGAGGATTGGGAAATGCCGTGAAGAAGAACCAGCCGTGTCGCTGTATAAAAGTTGGACTGGACAAAGAAACAAAGGGAAGGCCTCCTCACAAAGAACGAGAAGGAAGCGCAGCGCCGGCCTCGCTCCACTCACGTGTTATCAGCCGGCCTTGTTATGCACGCCCGATCCGATGCCGATGCAAGAGGCCTCTTGGATGAATTGAATTTTGATTGGGCTGCCTCGCTGGATGACGTGGCGGCCGCGAGTCTTGGCCCACGCGGCTGTGAAACCAGGGGTCTGGGTCGCCACCCGCCACCAGTGGCCGTGCTCTTGGGAATTACCTGATGTGGCGCAGCTTGCGGCGGTGCGCTGGTCAATTGATCCACTCATGTTGCAGCGTTGGACAAGTCGTGACTACGAGTTGGGCTAATGACGACATATTCTGTTCGCCGTCAAAGTGGCAAGCCAAAGACGTTAGGCCAAGTTGCCCGTGTCATAATAGGGCTGGTCGTTTCTGCTCACAGTCAGCAAAATACGTTGAACGTCCACCGCCGGAAAACGTCTATCGTCCATGTCTGCCCCGGCTGCTTTTCGCCGGTTCAACTCCGAGCACAGCTTGCTTCTCTTGCCGGTCGCCAAGATAGATGGGCGTGGACGACAATATCATCTCTGACACTGGGCGCAACTCTTCGCTTTTGACGGCGACCATGTCGAGCCTGGAGACCACGGCCACGTCCTCTAGATGACCAGCAGCCACGATTGGCACGCGGCCTTTTCGGATCCCCTTTGCCGACTTCTCTCTACGGCTCTCACGGCCTTTGCACTCATGACACTCTTCACGCTCGTCACAAGACCTGTGGCAGATCGCTCTGCATTGTGGCTGCCATCCACGCGTACCGACCGACGCAATGGAACGACGGCTGCTGACCCGGAGAACTATCCTCCCGGAATAACATTGCTAGACAACGACGCAGGGAACAGCACGCTGGGCTTTAGTTCCATTTATCTTGTATACATAGCGGGCCGGTACGATCGCCTCGACGCCATGGCGCTGCAGTCGTACCTGTCGGGCGTCGACCTGACCGAGTACGCGGCCGTCGGGCCAGAGTTGATCAAGGACGTAGGCATGCCGCCGACTCGGAAGCCAGGAAAGCTACGCAAGGGCGAGAAGGGCTGCTGGAGAGCACATGCCAACGTAGACACCCCTTCTCCACGGACACCGTTCTATCGGCCCTGAAGCTGTTGCAGGTATGGTCAGCAACGCTCAGGCACAGACTTCCGCCCGTTCTCATCGTGGAGTCGGATGCAACGTGGGATATCAACAGAGCTGGAATCTTCTCGGGCCTGTTGGCCTTGTTTACCCGCAACAAGGCATGGCTGAATGTCGAGGCCTCTGCCAGCGTTTGGACAACCAAGGCATATCACCAAGATGTTGCCCAAGCTCGCGACCTACAACAGCACCCAGTGCGAAACACCTTGTTACGCCGTTGATGTTATACGAAGAGCAGGCTTGGGGGACAATTTTCCCATTATACAATGACGCGGGTATTCTCTTTGGTACATGTGTGAAAATCAAGAAACGGGAGTACATTGGGCGGTCCGACGTGATGCATGCAGCCCAGCCCGGCCGCCTCGCCTCATCGACGCCCCTTTCTCCAACGACATCGCCACAAGACAGACACCAGAAGCACGACGGCAATCACGACGTAGACGCCGACCCGGAGGCTCTCTGCCCGCACACGGTCCGCCACCCAGTTCAGCACATAGCCATCCACTCCATGCCACGAGCGCCCTGCCGCGTGCCGGATCACCGTGCGTCCGTAGCTCGCGCCCAAAACCCCCAGCTCGTGATCCGAGGCGCCGTACATCCACGAATACTGCCGAAAGGCCGACGTCACCATGAGCGGGCCCGTCGACCAAAAGACGCGCAGGTACGGCAGAAGAATCCGCCTCGACGGCGAGCCGCCTCGCCGCTTGGCCTCGTAGAGCGCCCAGCGCAAAAACTCGGACCCTCGCTCCGCCATGAAGAAGTGGTTGCTCAGGCCCAGCGCCCCTGACGTCGGAGCAAATATGCCCCGTAGACCAACGTGCCGCAGGCAGGTCAGCTCCTCTGCCGCCCCGGGGTAGACGTCCAAGTCGGCGTAGATGCCGCCCTCGGCGTGGACGACCACGAGCCTGGCCAAGTCGGCCCGCTGGATGTCCAGCGCGTACCCCTCGTACGTCGATGACAACCACGGATACTCGGTCTCGACAAGTCTCCGGACGTCCTTGTCCGTCCACAACTTGACCGTGTAATTCATCACTTCGACCTTTGCCCGCCACGACGCGAGGGACGCCTCGGCCGAGTAGGTCAAGACGTTGTCCGTCTTCCATATCTGATGGACTATATTCGGAATCCGCGAGTCGGCTGCCGCCGTGGATGAGCCGTTCGTCCCGGTCGTCCCGGTCGTCCCGGCATCCGGCCGAGCGCACGCCTCGACGATTTCTATCGACTCCGATATCCGGCCACACAGCAAAAAGGCGTCATTGAAACTAAGCTGGTGCAGCACGACAATCGCCGCGAGAGACAGCACAAGGACGGCAACGAGCCTGCGTGAGCTTCGCCATATCCCGGCTCTCATTTGCGGCGTGGCACGGCAGCCCGGCGCCACTGACACCGAACTAGACCGGGCGTGGTGGCGGGTGGCAGTCCAGAAACGACGGCCGCAAGGGCGATGCGTATTATATACAACGGGCGCTTTTTATCGATGACAGAGCCGCGAGTGTCCGTCATGTCGAGGGAGAGATGGACGGGAAAATCAAAAAAGGTCTGCGAGGCAAGTAATAAGGGCACAAGGGGCCGGACCGCGAGACGCGGCCGCATGAGCGTGCAAGACGAACGACTCCTGGGATTTAAATGAAAGAGACAGCGGCAAGGGAATGAATGAATGGATGGATGAATGAATGGCAAGGGCGCATAATGCGTAGCCCCCCCCCGGCCCTGGGAGCCCGGGGGCCCGGTAGCCCGGTCCCTTTGAAGCAGAACATGGGTGATGCCGGCGATTCATGCGTTTAGGCTAATTAATGGACAGCAAATTCAATGACGGGGGGTTTCCGGAATAAATTAACAACCATGCTCGGTAGTGGTGCTTTCTAGAATGCGGCAGCGGCGTTCTTTTTCTGCGGGTTTGCCACGACGCTGCGCCAAGTTGTGCCAGCCATGGTCATGCTTGGAATTCGGTACGACACGAGTCACACGACAAGGGGTGTATATAGACTACTCCATTTGTCAAGTATAACCAGTCTTTCTGTTCATCGCTTGACAAGGATCGGGAAATCTCTCCCAAATCTGGAGGAAGAAGAATTCATTGTTCTCCACAACTCTCCCCCTTGATGAAATCTAGCTTCAAGTTTGCCAGCTCATTAGGCTGAAAGGCTTTCAACGTGGGATCATTCCGTCATGGCATCTGCGCCACCGATAGACGGGTCAAGGTGTGAGGGCCTCCATTCTACAACCGTCTCCAGCGACCTTGACCAAGGGGTTGAAGACGGACGGGAGACAAGCTGCGCCTCCTGTACCAGCTGGACTAGCTCATGAGACTTGTTCTCGCGCCGTACCCCGGGCAAAGCAGGTCGCTCAGCAGACACACGTGAAGAATGAAGCTTCACGAGAAATTCGGCGAGTAGCCGAGCGTGGCGTCTGAAGTCACAGGGGCAAGGAAGCCGAGAGATTAATGGACACGTGGAATTTCTGGCTTGCGAGGTGATACCGGGCGAACACCGCTTTTACACGTTAAAAGACTCGGACTTTTTATATCCATGACTTCAGCAGGATCATATATGATTATTGTGTCGTGCTCCCCCTCATAGCTCTGTCGTGATGCACGACACGCGTAACAAAATGCAGCTGTGCTCTGACCTTCAGGTAGCTGGGGCTGGAATTTGCGAACCAGGCTCCAACTTGGCGTTGTGTTTGAATCTTCACATCCATCTCGACGCATGCGGTTGACGGGGTTTTGTTTGTAGAAGCAGTTCAACGCAAAAAAGGGCAAAAGTCGCGGAAGACCACGATATCAAAGACGAAGAGACGCTGGTCCATCCCCATTTAGAAGACTGCTGCAAATTCAGGACGGGGCTCCGTACCACAAGCCTGTCGTTTTATCAGAGACCAACAAGACTGTTGCCAATTTCTCCTCCCAACTCCCCGACAACATGCGCGCATATATCGCCGGTGCCTCTTATTCGGCTGCACTTCGATTTACAACATACCATGTTTTTATTTACAATCTACGTCTCATTCAGGCAAACTCACGTTCGGCTATCGAAATGGAAGGCCTAACCGACCGGCCGGGACGTTGAGACGCGTTGCACAAGGGCGCCACGTATGGACCGGGATTTCTGCGGGGCGTTTGCGAATGGTGTTGTGATACTCCGTACATGAGCGTATAATATTCCGTCCCCCCCAAGCTGAAGAGCCAAGCTGCCGGGGTTATGATGACGATATTAGGTGCTTGCGTCATCCCGAGCAAACGGGGCTGAGTGATGGTCCCATGTGGAGGCCTTGTCGCATGTTTGTCTTTGCCGAGTCGTGTTGGCGTCCCCAATACGCGAATCTGTATGGTCATGGTTCAAGCATAACTACGGAGTAGTCGGCGCCAGAACCAGGTCGTAGGCTCGTAGGCTCGTAGGCTCGTAGCTGTAGGGCTGGCTAGACCGCCGCCCGAATCTTCCATGCGAGCCAGGGCCCAGGACGACCCATTTCATCCTTGTCATGTCGCATCGGGTGGCTCTGGAGACGCGCGTCTCGGGCTGTTTGTGGGCTCTCACTCTCCTGGGCAGATCAGCAGGCACTCCTGGTCCGTTCAACCGCAAGCCTCCATCACCGCGTTGAGCATCCATGGTCCTATTCACTCTAAAATATTGACCCGTACGTCACACTTCACTGTTTGCATAGGGGCACTTCCGCCTCTATTCATCCTCGGGAAGAAGCCATCTGCCTCCAAGGTCTCCTTTCGTCTGTCAAATACAACTGCACAAACTATCCATAGACAAATGGCCCACGAGTGCTTGCTCTCGTCTTTCCCGGCAGCTCAGTGTCCGTCGCCGTTCCAACTTTGTCAGCAGCTCCGGAGTAACGGAGTGAAGGGTTGATGACCTTGCGCGTATGTTGGTGACATGGTATCAACATGGATCGCGCCCACAGAGGCCATGGACGGGATCAAGCCTCGTGGCAACGACGCAGAACTTTAAAGTCCTCGTCCCGTCAAGAAACGCAGCCGTGTTGTTTCCCCTCAAGTCCCGAAACCACATGTACGTGGCAAGCGGGAATGAAGCCACAACAGACGGGCATGTCTCGCGCAAGCCTCACTCTCCCTCGGGCGGTGTTTCAACGTCAAGAACCGCGCTGTCCAATCCGTGAGACCGGGGACAAGCCGAACACATGCCCATGTGCGCTGCACAGCCGGACCGGTCCAGCGACTACGAATACGCCAACCACCCGTGCCAGGAGTCCGTCAGTCGCTCGGCACGCGAGACGGTGAGATACGCCGACTTGGAAAGTCTATCCTGGACCTCTGCAAACTTGCGCGCGGGAGCCTTCTTCTCGAACAAAATATCCAGCTCGAGATACGACAGCCCCTTGGTCTCGGGCAGACGGAAAAGGCACCACACGAGACAGCACAAGGCCGTGCCGGCGTACAGAAAACACGACTTGCCATGGATGCCCCAGACGGCCGGGTTGAGCATGTTGGGCACGACGGCGGCGTTGAACATCATGGCGGCGTTGTACACGACCCTGGCCAGGGCGACCGTCTTGACCCTCAGCCGCGTCGAGGGCACCTCGGCCACGACGATGTAGCACACAGGGCCGATGGTCAGGTCGTAGACAAAGGTCATGAGGATGATGAGGCCGCCCAGGTTCCAGTCGCCCACGGCCGAGCTGGCCGAGGCCGCCGACACGATGCCGCCGGCGGAGAGGAGCACGACCGTCGAGGCCAGCCCGAAGACGTAGAGCTTCCGGCGGCCAATCTTGGACACGAGCAGCCACGAGATGGCGCCCCCGACCAGGGCCATGCCGTACATGCCCGTGGAGAGGCTGAACGAGTCGGACGGGCTGAAGCCGGCCTGCTCGAAGAAGTAGGCCGCGTAGCCGGTCAGGACGCCGCCCGAAAGGGCCTGGCAGATCCAGGCGACGCACGAGATCTCGGTTCTGCGGCAGTTGACGCCCTTGAAGAGGTCCGAGTAGGTCGCGCCGCCGTAGTTGAGCTCCTTCTCGACGCCGTTGATGTGCTCCATGAGAGCTATGCTGTCGTCGATGTGCGCGCCGGGCCGGCTGCAGAGCCGGCCGAGGGACCGGCGGGCATCGCGGGGCCTCTCGTGACGGACAAACCACCCTGCGTGCGCGAGCGAGGCGCTCAGTACAAGTTCACAACCATCTGGCCAGGGAGACGGCCCCTCGAGGCGTGCTTACAGGGACTCTCGGGCGCAAAGGACACGCCGACGAGCAGCGGAACGGCCCAGGCCCATTGCAGGATGACCGGCAGCCGGTACGACCACTCCGAAGTATTGTGCAGCATGGCCCGCAGGACGCCCGTTCCCAGGAGCTGCCCTGCCACCCAGCAGATGTTGATGTTGCTCAGGACGTAGGGCCGCAGGCCCGAGGGCACGACCTCGGCCGCGTACGTCGCGGCCAGCGTCTGGATGACGCCCCAGGGAATACCTGCAGCGCGGTCAGGCCGAGGGTCGCGGAAGGAAGAGGGCCAGCAACGGGCCAGTTGCTCAGCTGAGCCCAGCCGAGTCGCAAGCTGCAGTCTGAGCAAACAGAGGGCTCGTACGTACCGCACAAGGCCTGCGAGACCAGCAGCGTCGTGATGCTGTTCGCGAACACGGCGGGGAAGACGGACATGCACAGCCAGAGCAGGCTTCCCATCATGACCTTTCGATAGCCAACAATGTACGTGATGTATCCGTGGGTCAGCAGCCCGACCAGCTCGCAGGCGTAGGTTGCGTTCTGCAGGCCAATCTGCCACGCCGACGAGATCTCGTAGTCTCCGCTGCCCGGACGCGCTCCCGCCCTCAAGGTCCCGTACTTGCGTTGAAAGGCCGGGAACGCGACGAACCCGAACAGCAGCGACTTGCCGTACGCCTCGAGGACGACGGTCAGGAACAGCAGCAGCGACCAGCCCACGGCCTTGGGGTACTGGCGGCAGCACGTCAGGAAGACCAGTTCCTTGTCCGAGTCGAAGCCGCGCCGGACTCTGCGCGACGTCGTGTCGTCGTGGCCTCCCGGCGACAGCTGCGGGAACCAGAAGGTGTCCATGGACCGTGCGGATCCCAGACAGGGGGCCTTGACGGCGCTGGGGGGCGCCAGCAGAGGATTCGGATTCGGCTCGCCGCTCGAGGGATCCGGACGCGGCGCGGCTTCTGGGCGGCGAGTTGACGGGGTCGTCTGGCGCGGGCGGCCCGCCTCCTGAGCGCTTCCCCCGGATTCCGACATGGCAAACGACTTGGCGAGCGGGTCAGAGCGCTTGGGCGACTTGGCAGGCCGTCTTGGTGGTTTCGTCAAAGAGGCCTGCTCGCCTTCTTAAACCCGGGCGCGTAGACGGACGGATGCAAGGACGGATGAGTGTTGGGGCGAGGTGAAGACGGCCTCATCGCGCATAGCCACTCTGCGTACATTCAGCTGCCCCGGCAGCAATCTGGAACCTGGAGTCTGGAATCTCAAGACGGCACTGCCGCATGAAAAGCTCAGCCTGGCAAAAAAAGAGCCTGGCCTGCCGGCAGCCGACTGACTGGTGAGTGGTGACGGCGGCGAGTTTCCACGGCGCTAGGTCTCCCCATCGTCGGCCCTTGTGCCCGCGACAAATGAAGACCAGGGGAAATTGTGGGATGGAATCAATTGCAAACGCCATGCGTTGCCCACGAAAGGCTGCTGGGGTTCGAGACTCGGGCCAGCGGATAGCTCTACCGATCTGGACATTTTATGTGATGCGCAAAGGACTCGGGCGACACCCTGTCCCACGTAGACAGACACGTTTCACTACTTAGACATTTGGGTAGAATCTCCTGTGCCTGTGATGGGCTGCCGTGATGTCACACCAAAAGTTGGGCGTGGCCCACGCCACACTTTTGTGTTAGACCACCTTATATGCTTGCGACACGTGATGGGGTCCGGTTTTTGTCCAGCACCACGTACGCTGCAGCATTGCGAGCCGGACTGATGTCTGTGTGCCCGCAACGTGATCAGTCTTTTGACCTTTTCAAAACGCCCTTGTTCAGCACCCGACGGCGCGTTTCACGCAATTTCTCGGGGGTTGACGGAAAGCCCGGCGGCGACCGCACTCTCGCGCCATGCGCCGGCGCCGTGGCGTGGATGGCGCCCGACAACGCCGAGACATTCGTCTGCCGGACCATGAAGCCCCGAGGCAGCGACGCGAGGCCGTGGCCGGCAATGATGTAGATGAAGTTCAAAAAGAAAAAGACGTGTGCGCCCGGTCCTGCCGACCGAGATGTATTGGATGGAATGCGTATGGATATCCATGGCATACGGAGTTCGTCGGAGTTTTGTTTCTGCCGCTGCAGCGAAATCCACGCGAAACAGCCGGTGGGAGAGCAAGGGCAGCCTCTGTGTCCGGCTGTGTTGGGGCATCGGAGGCTCAGCGTGGCGGCAAATCAACAAAAGTTGTCGACTTGGATATTGGGGAAACCCGGCCAAGCAATCCCATGAAGCCTATTATACAATCGCAACCTGGTCCTCGTTGCGGTGCGATGCGGTGCGGCAGCCTCCCGCAAAGATATCAACCAACACGACTTGCTCACATGTCGATGAATATTGTAGAGCATCAAAGAGCGGCACGCAATAGTTGAGAGCACCAACAGTTCAGAACCAAGACCAAACTCTGAAGCGAAAAAGAACAAATCTCCCAGCGGGGCTTGGCCTGCGGTGTTATCCACGGCACAGCCACCAGACTCCGGAGGAAAGCCGCGCCAGCGTCATGTACCGGCTGCGATAACCAGCGCCTTGATGCCCCTCGCGTCGGGACTCGCCGGCCGCACACCCGCAGCGGCAACGGGGGCGTTCCGGCCCGGCACCGCAGGCACGGGACCCGGGACCCGGGACGGCAACGGCCGGCCGCCGACGCCCAAGAAGCCGACATGTCTACTGTGCTGCTGGCGGCAGCAGCAAAGGGCCACGCGTCCCTTCCTCAAACTCTTCCCACTCTGGGGACATGGCACTGACGAGGCCGCGACGTCCTCTACGCGCAGCCCCCGTCGGGCGTGGTATACGGAGCTCAACCCCGGCCATCTGCGAGACGCGTCATCACATTCGACTCCGTCTTCAGTCTTCGCAATACCTTGGTCTTGTTGGACGAGATGCAGCCCTGACACATACACATATTTCCCCCGAGGGTACAAGGCAAGTCGCCTGCTTCGTGGCTAGACAGCCATTACATTGTTCTGCGGTCCAGCGGTCCAGCCAGCACAGAGCTTGATCGATGAATAGACTAGAACCATCCAGTGCGCTTTTTGTCCTCGCTCGACGAGACAAGAACAAACAATTTAAAAAAGACAAAAAAAAATGGGGCGGCCCCTTCCATCACTCACATCGTGCATCCAACATCAGCATCGAACCCACTCGTACACCCTCTCAATGCCCTCACTCCCAAGCATCAAGAAGCAAACCCTCCGCTCCGTAACGCCCCCGTCACGATCCACGTCCTCCACGGCGCAGTCCCTCACCCGCGCCTCATCCGCGGGCAGGTCGGCGTGCGGCAGGGCCATGGGAGCATCGACATCCTCTGCCGTCAACCCCCCGAGCCCGTGCTCAATCTCGACGATTCTCTTGCCAATGGCGTACAGGGTCGACGCGTCCCACAGCGTCTCCCGCATGCAGGACAATCTCTGGAGCAGCGACAGGGCCCTCAGCCGCAGCCTCAGGAACCGACACTTGGTCGCGACAAAATACAGCAGGGGACAGAAGCCCATGACGAACATGAACTTGTTGCGGCATGTCGGGGCCGCACGCTGTCCCGGCAGTGATTGGGCGGCCCGGGAAGCCACGTCCGCGATGCGCGTGAACCGGTCCAAGTGGTCGTCGTACATGGTCTCGGAGTGGGCAAGGCACGTGTTTGCCCAGATTTTGCACACGAGCCACCTCATCTGCAGGACGAGAAGCGTCATCGTCCTGACCTGGCGGCCCGGCCCGCGGACCCCTCGTCTGAGCTTGTCCAAGGCGGACCGCCACGCGTCTAGATGGGCCTCGAGTGCGTCCTTTTCGTGGATGACGGTTTGCAAAGACTGCTCTGGCACGCCAGGCCCCAGACGGTGGTGGTCGCTCGCCCGGACGAGGCGGACGGCGCGGGCGAGCAGGCAGTCGAGCGACTCGACGGCGTCGTCCAGAGAGTCAAAGGCGACTGCGTCGGCGTGCGCGGCGCGCAGGTGCAGAGCGGAAGAGGCTGAGATTTCGCCGCCGAAAAAGTAGGGAAAGATGCCGAGGTGGCGAAAGACGCGGAGCAGCTCGGGCTTGATGTCGGCTCCCGAGTTGAGAAGCGAGATGCCGTGCTGCGAATGGCTGATTGCGCTTTCGGCATCGCCGCGAAGGAACTCGATACAGGTGAATAGTATGCAGACCAGGAGCACGGTGTTAAGGTCGGCAGGACACGACGTCTGCAGGCCGATGAGGTGGGATATTGCCGCGTTGTAGTGGCGGATGGCAAAGTCATCTCGAGCGACATGGACAACGGCCCTCGTCGTCGTCGTCGTCTTCTTCTTCGTCGTCGTCGTCGTCACCGTCGCCTCGCTCTCGCCCTCGCCGTGGACAGACGTGCCGCAGGTGGCGTGTCCAAAGTTCTCGTACAGCCAACTTATGGCCAGGACGGCGTGTCTCGTCGCGGGTTCCGAGTGCACCATTTGCGCAACCAGCTTGGTCCAGAAGGAGCTGTCAAGCGGGCCGCACATGGCGGGCGCGACTACTTGCCGGTAGAATGCCAGGCCGCGCAGCTCGACATGGCTCGTCTCGGGCAGTGGGCTCAGAGAGGACGCAGCAGGCGCGGAGAGGAGACGATCCCAGGACACGCAGCCGGGCGGAGGAGGCATGTAGCCGTCGCAGACTCGGCCGGCGGAGGTACATCTGTTGCAGGCGGGATGGGTTTCATCGCACTTTACCCTGCGTTTTCTGGACAGCGGTTGGCATTAGCATGAGGCTCGCAACCAGAGCATGTGCGTGTGCGTTGTGGTTTGTGGTGCGTTTTGTATGAGGTGTGTTGTGAGAGACGAGAGACGAGAGACGAGAGCCGAGAGCCGAGAGCCGTCTGTGGGGTGAAGTTGGACGTACGTACTTGCAGGTAAGACAGCCGGTGCGAGCCTTGGGGACTCCTTTTCGGGGCATAGCAGCAGGGCCGCTAGACCAAAATCGGGGCGTGGTGGGTATCGAGCGCCCCGAGCAATTGACGTGCCAGCCACGGCCAACGATGAGAAGTCAATTGTGCAAATTGTTAAAAAAGAAAAATAAAAAGAAGGCCCCCAACACCACAACCTGCAACAAAACGCAACTGGTGATCTGGCGCTGCTCTATGCCGACGCTGACGCTGACGCTGATGCTCCTGCCCATGCCCGTCTTCGTGTTCGCGCGTGCTCGTCTGTGCGAGACAAGAGAAGCCGCCGTCTGCTGTCAATCCGATACGCCGTCGTCACACCCAAGTCTTCCTTTCTCGTTCAAAGGATGATGGACGCCTCGTCATCTTTTTATCCCCCACTGCATTGCAACGGCCAAAAACAAAAAAGAAAAGAAAAAAAAACCACGCACCACCACGCACCACCACGGCATCCATCCCTTGGATTCTCGCATCAAACAGACGACGATATTTCCAAACTGCGGCAACAAGACCCAAAATAGCGCCCTGATGACGACGACGTCCCCGACGGATTCCAGGCTCCCTTGTCGTGACTCGTCTGATTGACTGACGATGGATTGACCGATGCCGACCCATCCCCATCCCCATCCCCATCCATCCATCAATAGAGCCCAATGCCCAACATGTCCTCCGTAATTTGACCGCCGCAACCTTGCCTTTATCGCGTCGCTCTATTAATATCCGCAAACATGTGGGCACTCGACATCCTCCGTCGGCCACGACCAGATGGATGCCGGCGACGCGTTCCCCCCTCTGCCTGCTCCATTCACCGGATAACTAACTTACGACGTGCCGTAGCTGGTCATGTACAAATGGAAATGTTCCGTCCGCGTGCTCCCTGCTGGGACTTCTCAATCATGTCTATCTGTACTACTGTTACAATTGCTTGCTTACTTTGAGCTTCCATGGCCTTTTCCAACAACCTCTCGCAATACCCGCAGTTTTTCTTCCGTCACGCGAATGGCTTCTTGAATTTCGCCTTCGTCCATCCGCTCCTCGCGCAACTTCTCCTCCACCGTCCGGTGCTCCATGGCACGCCTACGCCCGCTTGCCTGGTCCGAGCTCAGTCGCTCCATACCGACGCGCTCCTCCAGCCATTCCCACAGTTCAGAATCTTGCCGCCGCCACATCTCCTCGTAGGCAGCCTGTCGGCGGTGACTGTAGAAGCCCACCTCTGGACCATACGACGTCTTGTCCTTGGGCGGAGTCCCGTAACCAAACCACATGGCCACTAGGAGGCCCACGAGCAACCCATACATGACGTTGCCCGTGAGTACAGGCTGGAGCGCATCGACACATGGCTCGATTATGCTTCGAACAGGCTCCAAAGCTCCCCAGCTTTGTTTTCTGCCCTCTGACTTGCTCCCCTTGATGGTTTCCAGGCCCGCTCCTGCCTGTAACGCCTTGCTCCTCTTCAGCTTCTTCTTGCCCTTGACAAGTCCGTTCGTGGCCGTCCCGGATCGAGCCCTCGAGGACACAGCAGACTTGAGTGATGCAAATAGCTCCTTGCAGTACTGCCCTTGTCCGTCGTTGACGTTCTTCTCGATGGTTCCTACCACGCGTTAGCACCGTCGTATTCGCCACGGCACAAGGTGCACAATGAAAAAAAAAAAAGGAAAAAAAAAACCTACCCTTCAGCCAGCACTTGCCTGACCATTCCACTGTGCAGTTGACTTGGATACGTGTAGCGTTATTCTCGGCCCATGACAAGCAGTACTTAGTCTTGACAGTAAACAGGTTGCCGTAGGGCACATCTGGATTTTGGGTAGACACGCTGAGGTTGATGGCCTTCTCCAAGTCCATCTGGTCCATGTTTTCCGTCACAACACACTTCGTCTGCTTCGGGCCGATCGAACCGTTTAGTGGTTTGATGTAGGTAAACGTGCGGCTGTTATTGTCGGCCGTGAGGCCCTTCTTATCCTCCATTTGAATCTCGGTGCACTTTTGATCCGTTGACAGCCACCTGCTCATCCAGGTGACGGACCCGGGGCCAAACACGAGGTTGTACACTTTTCCGAGAGGCGCGGGAATGGTCTCGTCACCAAGGACCTTGTCGTAGTGGGCTGCGGAGTCGCCGCAGTCTGTTGGCGCATGTGCCGAGGGCCCAGGGAAGTCGACGGCACTGCCGGGCGGCGGAGATGCACCTTTGGGGGCTTCAGAAGACACGCCGTTTACGACAGTCATGCCGGACACCCTGCGCGTCACGAGCTTCTCTGGCTCCGGCTCGGCGGCTGTCAAATCCGTCGACTGGGTTTCCAGCGCTTCATCATGTTCTTCCTCATCGTAGAACTCGTCTTCATCGCCCTCGTCGTCTTCTGTCTCTTCCTCGGATCCGGACTTCGGTGGCTCCGCTTCCACCGCTTCTTGCTGTTCTTGCACCTTTTCTGTCTTGTCCCCACCGGTTCCTTCCAACTGGACGCCGTTCAATGTGCTTCGTAGAGTTGGGTGGCCCAGTTTCCAAATATTCACAATAAGGTCATATGTAGCATCTCTGCTTGTAAAACTGGCAAAAATATGTTTGGCGTGCAGTGTCGATATCATCAGTCCGTTTTTGAATACAAGAGCGGTGCTTCGCTTCTCCATAGACACGATTTCATCAAAGCTCATAACCAACGTTGTTGTCCAGCCAAGGATATTACTACTGAAGCAAAGATGACCCTCGGACACGTATAGTCGGCCATGGGCCAGAATCTCTCGTTGAAGAGCGCAGCTATAGTCTTCAATTAGGTAATCATCATCCGGGACACTCTTGAAGAGGTTATGAAAGTCTCGGTTTCGTTTCTTGCTAGCAATCGCGAATCCCGTCAACTTGGGTGCCCCTAACCCGCCGCTGGGGGGAAGGGCGGCATTATTGGCAGACGTAACCGCTGCAGCTATAGTTCCTCCTGTTGTCACCGAGCTTCCTCTCTTTCTGCGAGGTTTCACTGCGCTTCTGAGACTGGACGACCGGTGAATTGACCCTTTGAGGTCTGTCAAGTCCTCCTGCGACGGGGTCCGCTCCCCAGTGGTAGGTTCGGCCAAGGAGCGGGGACGACTCGACGGTTCCGCGGGTCCTGCGTCCGTGGCCGAGGTCTGAGGCTCCGTCGGAGCAGACTCCGATCTCAGCCTGTTGTCGCTGGTGTCGGCGAATCTGGCGCTCGCAGGGGATGCAACTGAGGAATCAGGCAGGCCGAGATGGCTGAGGCTCAGATCTCCCGACCCTAGCGTTCGAACTGCAGACTCTCTCCTGTCCATTGTGTCTTCGATACGCGGCTCTGGCTCAGGTGCAGGTTGCGAGTTCACGGTTGTTTGGCTAGCATTTGGGGAGTGTAGAGACTTTGGTGTGCTGACGCGGCTTTTATTGCCCCCAATACCGAGTCCCCCGCTGGGTATCGTATTGCTAATCGAGGTGGCAGCGCTCTGAGCGGCAGAGATCACAGAGGAGAAGAAGCCGGAAGTAGCATTTGCGGTGCTCTCTCCACCAGTGTCGTCGGTGGGCGTCAATGGCGCGGCCGTAATATGAGAGAGCTTGCTAGGACCAATTGCTGCAGAGCCAGATTTGCTTCTCGTGTGGATGTTCATATTCGACGCAGCAGCACTTCCTTCCGCTCTTCGTCTAGGGTTAGCCCCATTCGCCGTCGGCTTGCCGTCCGGGGACGTTGCGAGTTGCGAAGAATCGGTTCGGTCTATTGGAGTTGGGGGGGTATTGACGATTACAGGAGCAGGTTGATCGTCTCGAGGAGGCGTACGGGGAGGATTGGTTTCGATTTTAGGTGCCACTGCCCTACCCCTTCGGACGGCGGGAACTATTTTGGCCGGCGCAGGAGGTTCGGGGATCGAGTTCTGGACGCCGGGAGCGCCCTGAGCTTTGGGCAGCTGTTTCGGCGACAAGGACTTGTCGCTACTGCCGCTGGAACTGCCGCGGTCCGGAGGCGAAGACAGGAGGAAGTGAGACTGCGAGTCCAAATGTTGAGTTTGGACCACGGGTGATGACGTTGTCAAGTAGCCGATGAGAGACGGGTGAGCGGATATTGTTGCGGGTCGAGCTGGAGCAGAGCTCGATGCGGGTCTTGCCCTGTGCGGGGTGTGTTAGGCGGACGTTTCCCTTTTTTTTTCAGTTGTTCAGGCGTTGCAGGCATCAAACGACGGTTGGGAGAGCTGGAGCTGGAGTAGAAAAGCAACAGGATATGCAGGTCAAGGCGAGGCTTTGGACGGGCGTTATAACCATGGCTCATTGTCGTACCATGTGCGGCGGGGCCATGGGGTGGTTCAGATGTTCAGGTGGAGGCTGCGTCTGGCGCCTTGGAAGGCCCATCAAAAAGGCTTTGTCTCAAAGCTAAAATGGAAAACCTGGCACCAGGGAAGTGACGAGAACAGGACAAATGGAAACGACACAACGTACCGATCAGCCGTCTCTGCGTCTGCGCCGGACTCAAAGGACCCGAAGCTTCTGTCGTCGTCGTCGGCCATGTTGGTCGAGTTGGTCGAGTTGGCATCGTCGCTCTCGAGCGTCAGTTCGCGCCTGAAACGCCGCCGAGCGCTGTGTGGGCTGGTGCTGCGCGTGTCTTCGTCTGGACCCGATGCCTCCGAGTCCCGTCCGGTCTTCCCCTTCCTGCGCCTCCTCTTGGTTGATAAACCCTTTGGCAGCAGTTTGCCGACCCGTAAGCCGCCGCCGCTGCTGCCGGGAGCGGTGCCGTCCATTGTTGGGAGTTTTTGGCCCCCGTACAGGTCGGGTCAATCCTGCAGGCAGCGGCGAGAAAGAGGGTGGCCAAACCAGTCTCCTGGCGTGTTCCGGTCGAAGCAAAGAGAAGCGATGTGATGTGCAACAGTGTTTGTCGAGTCTTTGGTTTTGGAGCTGCGGCTATCATGCCCAACCCGACAACATCCCCCGCGGCCGTCTGATCGTTGCTGCTGACAAGCGTCGCAGCATGGAACCGAGCGGTCTTGCCGGTGGACTGCGCCGTGAGGACAGATTGTAACTTGGTACTGAGTGTGAGATGCGGTCGAGGTAAAATGGGCAAAAGTGTGCTTGATTTCAACAGGGATGGTAATCCGTAATCTGATGCAAATGCAAAACAACGTCGAGCAACGGCCCTTGTTTTCAAACCAACTTATTCTGAGGTAAGCGTGGCAGGCTGGTTGGCCGGTCATAGCCGAGTTTATCGCTTCTGCATTTTGAATTTTTGATGAATCTGGTTTGGCTTGCGACTCTCGCCCAGCCCGTCTTTTTTTGCTCGCTCCTTCCGATGCTCAATTGCTCATTGCTGTCCTTCTCGGCATCGAGTCCCGCCCAATCAGATGGCGTGTATCAACGCTTGTCCCACATCTTTATGCAAGCCGCCAGCCACCCACATGCCACATGCATTCATGCATTGACTGTGTTACTGGTGCTTCATTGCTCAATGACGGAAATGACGTCGACGATTCAAACGACGAGTGACAACTGATCGCGTGATACGTCGTCATTCATCCAGTGCAGCCTATTGACCGAAGCACCAGCAGATTGTGCTTCAACTTGAGAGACTCAAGCGAGTTGTCACACAACGGTCAACAAAACTAGCCTTGGTGTTGGGCATGTTGATAGATGAGCTTCTTCTGTCCCTTTCACCTGGACGACATTGGGCTAGAGGGGTATGGACGCAAGCGACCGCTCATTTTTAATGGTTAGAGATTAATTTAAATAAAAAAAAGACTTATTTACTATTTTTTACACTTAGCTAGACTGTTTATTTACTTTTTATAGTAAAGCTGGGTATTTTTAGTCTTCTAATAGTATAACGCTATTAAAAAAAAGTACTACAGTAAACTATGTCTATAATAATTCTATGTTATAGCGAAATTTAAGTTTTTACAATAATTTACAGTTATCTAAGGTTTTTCCCTAGTAAATTATTAATAGTTGCATTACTAATAATATTATTAACTTTTTACTTAGTTACTATATATTTTATTGTTATAAAGCTCTACTTTAAGAGCTAAATTTCCTAATAGTAGAGCTAGATTTTTTAATAGTAGAGCTAAATTTTGCTGCTTTCCCTTAATATATACTTTATAACATCCTTAGGTGTAATTTCCTAGTAAATTTAATAAAAAGTACAAGCTCTATAAAAGTTGCACCTTAATAATAGTCGCTATATGACAATAAAAAAAGCCTCACGAAGGATATCGTTATAGACCTAGTTTACTGTAATTGTAACTTGTTAAGGACTATCCGTACAGGCGACTGCGTGTAAGCATTAGTAGTATTAACTAAGGACCACGCCCATTGCGAGTGGCGCAGACGGGTGGATCGTATGCTTTCAAAAGACAAGTCTAGATTGCAAGTCTCGTTCAGGTTTGAAAGGATAAGTGTTGATCCGGACTGCCCCCTCCCAATTGGCCATTGCAGCTGCTACGCTCGGCATGGTGGGCAAATGGAAATCAGAAGATGCTCTCTGCACCTACCGAAGCTGGCCAGAGTCGCCAGCTTGGGCACACTTCAATCCCAGGAATGCTCACAAAAGGGCTCAGAAGCCCATCATTATTGCTCCGGCTATTATGTCCGGCTATTATGTTGCTGGCCGGATCAGGCCTCGTGAATCTATCGCTGATTGCAGGTTCAGCAATTTGAAGACCGGCTCTGCCGCTTCAGCATGCCTCACACACGAGACCACGACGAGCTCGACACGCCGCTGCAGCTTCGAATGATGCAGCAGATGACGGCACGCCAAGAAAGAAAAAAGACAAGCCTCCCTTGCTTTTGATCCTCGCTGTGCAGCCAGGGAGAAAGTGTGGCAGTTCTCGACTAGAGATAAGAAGCTGCACATCTAACCGTCGATGTTGCTCCGGCTATCAAGACGAGAGAGGTGCAAACGGGCAATTTGCGCACAAGAGAGATCTCATGGTGTTGGCTGGTTAATTTTTGAGCAACCACGCTTATCCAAGAGCGTCATGGGGCCGGGTATCACAAATGCCCACAGAAGTGGCCCTACAGAGTGTCGATACTTGGGCATTTCCACACACGCATACATCATAGTCACACGAGGCTTCCCGTGTTGGGGCCTCACAAGTCCAGCAATCAAACATTACTTACGTATACCTCGGCTTGCATGGGATATTCTGAACATGGCTTCAAATTCAAACCAAGACTCCAGAAGTGGCCTTCAAAAGACCTCTCCGAGAAAATGGTTCCCACGGCCAGCATCTGCTCCATCTCCCTCGGCCGCGGCGCTGCTGGCCACAAACTAGAATATAAGCTGCAAATGGCTGCCCAACAGGGGTTCCGAGGTATCGAGCTCTTCTACGAGGACTTGATCCATGTCGCGGAATCCATCCAAGGGGGCGACACCCCGGAAAACGAACTCGCTGCAGCAGTCATGATTCGACACATGTGCGAGGAGCGCGGCCTTTCCATCGTCTGCCTCCAGCCCTTCATGCACTACGAGGGCCTGGTCGATCGGGCTCTGCACCAGCAACGGATCGAGGAGATGCATCACTGGGTGAGGCTGTCGCACAACCTGGACACTGATCTCATTCTGTTGCCAAGCAGCAACCTGGGCCCCGAGCACATTTCCGAAGAAGTCGATGTCATCGTTCAAGACATGCGGGAAGTCGCCGAAATTGGCCTTCAGGCCCGGCCCGTCATCCGGTATGCCTTCGAGGCCTTGTGCTGGGGCACCCGGGTCGACACGTGGGAGGCCAGTTGGGATGTGGTCAAGAGGGTGAACAGGTCCAACTTTGGCATGTGCCTGGACTCTTTCAACATTGCCGGAAGGATATATGCGGATCCCACAATGTCCTCTGGTTGCACGAAAGACTGCGACGAGGCGCTCGTTCGGTCGGTTGCTACCATGGTTGCCCAGCTGGACGTTTCGAAGCTGTTCCTCGTGCAGGTTGCGGATGCAGAAAGGCTGTCAAAGCCGCTTACGCCGCAGCACGAATTCTACAACCCCGAACAGCCGCCGCGGATGAGTTGGTCGCGCAACGCTAGGCTATTCTACGGCGAGGACAAGCACGGGGCTTATCTCCCTGTGCGAGTCATTCTAGGCGCTATTGTGACGGACATGAGATACAAGGGATGGCTGAGCTTTGAAGTGTTCAACAGGGCATTCTTCAATCCTGATCCCAGGGTGCCTGCTCTCATGGCGCAGCGCGCTGCCCGCTCGTGGAGGAAAATGGTGGCAGAACTGGATTTGACGACAGAGCAGCCATTGGAAAGGGGCAATTGGTTAAATACATAGACGGGCCTGGAAGCACAAGACCGCGTGACGAGACAAGTTTGGCGAGGCAAAGAGTAGATGCCCATGCCCTTGATGACGAGCGACCATGGTAGAATAAAATGGTGTATTTCAAGTTTAGCAAATAGAGCCCCTCTTCAGAAGAATACCCTCACCCACGGCGCAAAAATTATACAACAGCAATGCCCCGTTCGTCGTATCAAGTAATTCCGTCTCCGGTCAGCAAGTCAGATCACACTGAATCCTCTTTCAATGTGTTATGAGATCTCCAAGTCATTCATGCGAGTGATAAAGTCTTCCTGTAAATGTTTCAAGTATCCGGGCAAGGCTTCGTCGCTCCCGTGCTCGTAAGCTTGTCGCAGCGCATCATGCAAACTGAGCACGAGCTTACGACGGGCCACCAGCCGTTGCGACTCAGAGTCCCGCCAGTTCGCCTCTCTTCGTCGCCTCAGGGCGTTGGCCACCTCTTCGGCCCGCTTGGTGAAGGATTCTGGAAATCCTATTGCTCTTGCCAAGTCGATTCCGTAATGTTGGTTCGGGTCGACAACACCAGATTTTGCCTTGTAGAGCATGACCAGTCGTGGTTCGCCTACATCTGAAATAGACCGCTCCGAGGCCAATTGCAAATTCAAAACGCCAGGGCGATCCTTCAACACTTGAGTAAGCTCAACGAAATGAGTGGCGAACCACACAAAGGCGCCTGACTGTATGAGTGCTTCCGACATTGCGATTGCCATGGCCAGGCCATCCCTGGGGCTCGTCCCACGGCCCAGCTCATCGATGATCACCAAGCTTTTCTCGTCTACGTTTCGTAAGATGAAAGCCATCTCCCGCATCTCTAGAGAATAGGTGGAAAGGTTGGCCTCGAGATTGTCGGCTAAAGACACTCGTGCAAACAGATTGTGAACCACGGAGAAAGATGCATATTCAGCTGGAACGAAGCATCCAATTTGGGCCATTATCTGCAGCAGTGCAACAGCTCTGATGTATGTCGTCTTGCCTGCCATGTTGCATCCTGTCACAATGTGGAAACGGTGTTCCGGCGTCGCAATGTAATCATTTGGAACAAATTCCTCAAACATGACCTAAGTAGTGATAAGTAAAGTGCAATCATGTCGCAAAAGAGAACAGACAACACTGACACGGTCCAAGATTGGGTGTCGGGCTGCTTTCAACGCCAGTGTGCCTAAAATCTCTGGTCGAACATAATCTCTGATGGTAGCAAGATGCGCGAAAGAGGCTATCATATCGACTAGAGCAACAGATTCGCAGACTCTGAATAGCTGTGGAGCTGACTCCCTGAGATCCTCTATGAGCTTTTGGATTACTTTGTCACTACGCATGACAATTTCGTTGGACGTCTCTGATAGGCGTAAGTTTAGTTTTACCAATGGCAGAGTCTGACACTCGATATGATCCTTCTTTTTCAGCACATTGATGAAAATACGTGGTAACGCTTCTTGGTTTAGATGCCCCGATTTTACGTGCAGCCAATACTTGCGTCCATGATCGAACTTGAGAGTCAAGTGAATACCCTGCTGGGCTAGTTTCACGATGTTATTCCTTGGTAATTGGAGCTGGTGTCTCGAACCACATACCTTCCACGTCGTTTAAATGAAGATGGACCTCATTTGTCAGCTCTTTGTACGTTTGTCGTGCGACGTCAAGCATGTCATTGATGCCGGCTTTGACGGCATACGTCCTCTGATTACGCATATCTAGCGGCGATCTCATATACGTTACATCAGCCTCTAGAACTTTATGTATTCTTGCCAAGATAGGACTTGTTACTTCTGGGCGGCAAATGTCCCTAATTTTTAGAAGAAGCGCGCTACTACATTCAGCCAGCGCGTGATACAGTTCTGGTACCGACTCAAGGGACGCTTTTATAAGGATGACGTGATTAATTTGTTCTTCAGCTTGTAGTATGGTCGATTTGGCGGATAGAGTGATCATCTGCCATATGTTAGCTCGGATTTGCGTGTTATGAGACTGTCAAAGTGTGCCTTTGTAAGAACTTTTTCGATATCTCTAAAGTTTTGGAGCGCTGTATTTTGTTAACGGCAGCAACGCTATTTGGGAATGAGAGAAAACACCTTTCCGAACTGCATGAAACAGTTCTTCCGCACCTGTAAGCTCTTCCAAGGCTTCATAGCGTGGCCCAATGAAAGTGTCATACTTTGTCGGAGGTTGAAGAATGTTGCTGCGAAGCATCCGCGATCCCATCGGTGTCTTTGTTTGATTCAATAGCCCAAAGAGACTGTCCTTGGACTTGGGTTTGTCAAGGTTCTGCAAGATCTCTAGCGATTGTATGACTGACACGTCGATCATCATGGTATCTTCCGACGGTCGATATCTAATACGCAACGAATTAGGAGCAAAAGTGACGGTAAACATATGCTCAATATATTTCATGGCATGGAGAAAGGGTCAGCATATGCGATGTGATGAGTAGCTGAATGAGACAGGCCTTACCGCTGCAAGCGAGCCAATGCAATAATACTTTCCCTGCGTTGCCACCTTCATGGGGTCGATATCGCTTTTGAATGCTAGGTTTTCAATGTACTCAAGGCCGTCTATCTCCGACCAGGCGGATCTGTCCAGCATTTCAATATCTGCGTCGGGTATGAGCTCATCGATCAAGCTATACAGAACACTGTCTTTATTCGGCGGGCATGCTGTAGACATCAAGACAATTCTAGATGCAATTGCTATCTGAAGCTTGTGTATCGTCTTGACATATGATTGATTGTCGCATATCTGGCTCAATATAGCCTCTCCAAGTGTAATGTTTACAAGGGCAATCCCAATAGAAGGTGAAATGCCACGAGACTCGGCCACGGCGCAAATGATTGTTTGTTGGTCACTTGCCCCCAGCATTGTAGAAAGTGTGCCAGTTCGTGACTTGCGCCCAGAGACACTTGTTGATGGCCGCGATCCCATCGCTGTCGTAACAGACTTGGCCGTGCTTGATATTGAGCCGGCTACGGATGGAGTCGCAGTCATTGAGCCGCCGTCCTCGGAAGTTTTCCGGGGGAGGTTCCTATTTGATGCGGAGGAAGAGCCATGACGACCATGAGAAGGGCGATGAAAGTAAGACGATGTCGTGCTGGACGGCCGGGACTGCCTGGGATGTCGAGGCATGATTCGGGTCAGGACAGGCAATCCACGAGTCAATGGTTCGTATGGGAGGCAGTACAGACATGTGTTGACAAACGGGTTATAAAGAAGAAGTGGCACTAAATTGAACTGAGAAACTTCGGATTTAGGAATGGATCCATTCTGTGCGTGATGCACAGAAACGAAAATTGGTCAACACAGCTGAGTAAGTCCTTCCATTTAGTTATGTTGATTATCGAAGTGCAGGAAGGCGCGATAGACGTACAAGGGTGTGTGTGGCTCCGCCAGCGACTCGGAGTGAACAACAAATATCTCGCACCACCCAGAGTTCAAATCCGCACACACCCTTTACACCATCTCAAATAACTGCTTCGAATACTATTTTCTAGTGTTCGGGATTCTAGAGGCGGCAGCGGCCCTTTATTCGGGCATCTTCACTACCTATGAAGATCTTATGCTCGATCTCAACAGGCGCATGGAGAGGGAAAGGCTACAAAATTGTCCATGCGAGATCCCAACGTAAAAAGATCAGTGGTGGTGATATGGCCAGGAACGAGATTGTTCGCTGCGATCTGGTGTGCAGCCGTGGAGGCCGTTCATACAAATCTACAGCTACCAAACAAAAGGCGCACACCAAGAAGACGGGCTGTCCATGGAAGGCAAAAGCAGTATTCTGCAACCAACACAACCACGAGGCTGCAACACCCGAGCCTCTCGGCTTCCCAGAGGCTTGCGATGAGGAGGGTTCTGATGCGGATAATGAAGACGGTGCGTCATTAAATTTTGCTTCTTGGATTCTTAAACGGCTCCCACTCTAACGCGACGTTAGAATTCGAGAATGGATCAAGACCAGAAACCGAGGCTTCGGCAGCGCTTCAAGTCGCAGGAGTATCCGACAGCACCCTACGTCTGACTGGAGACTGACTGGAGACACGTTCCATCACCTCAAGACTGCCTATCGCAAAATGAGACAAGGCGATCGCCTAAATGTCCCAGCACAGATGCAACTGCGGATAGCAGCGCTCTATGCTGTACAAAATGAAGACAAGCAGAGGCAGCAACGTCAAGAAGCTCTACATGAGCGCCATCGTGCGGTTGGCACAAAAGGGAACAACTTGTCGGCGCAAACGCGCCGTGCGACAAGGAATCAGAAGACCCACGATGAGCAACATCCACAGACACCAAATCTATCAGCTGAGCCAGAACTATCGTTGTCCCAGGGGCTCGTACACATAGGTTCCAACTGCGCTCCAGATTCAATACAGGGGCCACATTTCCAATTGACCGACCATACCAGCACCATGAACAGTGTTGAGATACCACAATATCACAGACCCTCCAAGAGGACGAAACCCTACAGACCAACAGTAACATGTTAACTACAGTAAACCAGGTCTATAACGATAACCTTCGTGAGCAAATTTTCATCGTTATAACCTAACTACAGGGATTATATTGTTAAGATGCAACTACTCTTTTAGGAAAAACTCTACTTTTGTTAGTAAGATAAAGCTAATAAGGCTTAATAAGGCTTAATAAGGGATTTTAGGGGGGGTAAAGTAGTGTGTAATTATAAACTTATATATATTAATAAGCAATATTTATAAGAAAAATCGCTATAAGTTAGAAGTCACTTTTATATGTATAATATATAGGAAAGGTACTTTACGCCTAGGCGTGTGTGCCGAATCGCTATAGGGGGGGATCGTTATAAACCTGCTTTACTGTACATGATCACAGATTCCGGGTGGGGTGTGCCAAGCCTTTATCAGCGCTGTGCTCACCGCCTAAATTTTGTCAGAGTTTTGCCGCCCCACCTAAGCATTACAGGAATGAACAACCAAGAGAAAAGAATCTGCGAGCATTGCAGCAGCAGAGGTTCTTCGTGACATTGAAGTATCACGAAATGGCAACCGTCGTCCCCCCGCCTTCAAAAAGACAGAGGCGTGAAGACCTTGAAAGGTCTAGGCTACAGCAAGATGTCAACGCAGCCATGGCCGGGCCGGAAGGCTCATTCAAGGCTAGATTTCTGGACAGTGATGGGAACCAGGTCTGCGACGTAGTTGAAGTGCCTCTTGCGGATGCTTCAGAAAAGAACCTCTCACTCCTTTTGAACACCTTGTTAGCGAGGGTAAGATGTCGTGACATTTGATGCAGTAATTCTCGCGAAGTGCTGACCTTGGCTCCCTCCAGGAACGAGAAGAATATTTGCCGTATCGATTTCGAATTCACATTCCAGATTCCGACATCATAGTCGACCAGTACCCCAAAGATTTGCTTCAGCTCCTTAGGAGTCATAGCATCGAGAACCCTTTCGAGACAACCGTCACCCTCACCGCCGAGCCCCAATCAGTCTTCAAAGTTCATGCTGTCACACGCATGTCGCATAGAATTCCAGGCCATGGAGAAGCGATTCTGACAGCTCAATTCAGTCCGGCGACCAATACTCGTCTGGCTACAGGGTCTGGCGATAAGACTGCTAGAATATGGGACACTGAGACTGGAACTCCAAAGTACACATTGTCCGGCCATACACATTGGGTGCTCTGCGTCGCATGGTCGCCTGACGGTAAACGACTGGCTACTGGAAGTATGGACAAGTCTGTCAGACTTTGGGATCCCTCGACAGGGAAAGCGATGGGAGGCCCTCTCACTGGACATGCCAAATGGATCACCAATATTGCGTGGGAGCCTTTTCACCTGTGGAAAGATGGCACACCGCGGCTGGCCAGCGCGAGCAAAGACACAACAGTGAGGGTTTGGGTAGTCAATACGGGAAGAACCGAGCATGTTCTCTCGGGACATAAAAGCTCCGTCAGCTGCATTCGTTGGGGCGGGACGGGCCTCATATACACCGGAAGCCATGACAAGATGGTGCGAGTCTGGGATGCGGCAAAGGGAACATTACTGCATACCTTGTCATCGCATGCTCACTGGATCAATCATTTGGCACTTTCAACAGATTTTGCCTTGAGAACGGGCTATTTCGATCACGAGCCAACGCCGAGCACGGAGGAGGGCAAAATAGCGAAAGCCAAGGAGCGTTTCGAGAAGGCAGCTAAAATTCACGGGCGTGTGTCTGAGCGCCTAGTATCCGCCAGTGATGATTTCACGATGTATCTGTGGGAGCCTTCTCAAGGTAGTAAGCCGGTTGCTCGAATGGTCGGCCATCAGAAGCAAATCAACCATGTCACGTTCTCTCCCGACAACACCTTAATCGCTAGCGCAGGCTGGGACAACCATACAAAACTCTGGAGTGCAAGGTACGTGGTGTGACTTGAACCAACCAGCCAACGTCGAGCTAACAAGACCTCGCAGAGACGGCAAATTCATCAACACTCTTCGTGGGCATGTAGCTACAGTTTATCAGTGCTCGTTTTCCGCTGATTCTCGGTTATTGGTTACGGCATCTAAGGACACAACCCTCAAGGTTTGGTCAATGGCGTCCTTCAAGCTGGCGGTCGACCTTCCCGGTCATAATGATGAGGTATACGCCGTAGACTGGGCACCAGATGGCAAGCGTGTTGCCAGTGGAGGCAAGGATAAGGCGGTACGGTTATGGACAAACTAGAAGTCGTGTGCCGGCAGCGAGAGATGGATCCGGGTAATGGCTTGGCTATGCTGCCTAACGATACCCACCCACTTCTTTTAACAAAACAAAACATAATCAGCTTCGATATACCCCACAGTCTCAGTCACCTGTTCCCGCAGTAGCGCAGATCATATATCTATCTCTCAGGGATACTGACTAGGGTACACGAGCCCAAGACACGGCAGTAATTCTCTCTGTAGACAGGAACATGTCGATACACTGTTTAGATCGTGCCAGACTCGGGAACCAAAAAGGGCATTCAGAGCTTGGGCTAAGCGAGCTCCCATGTTGAACAACATCGTGCCTCTTGGCGATGCACAGCTGGTGGAAATGAAGAAATCATGGTGGGAATATATCGGAAAGTCGGGGAGACGCGCATGTTTTATCGTACATGGGCACACGAATATTGTCACAGTCGCACGAATTCTCGGCCAGTCTTCCCTCCTGCTCCCCAGCCTTAACTGCCTCGTCGGGCAGAAGTAGGCGACGGCCCTTCTCGGCACGTTGAAGACATGGTGACTTTTCCAGAGATTCCCCCTCGGAACGCTGTTAATAACCCGAGAGTGAAACGTGGCCGTTTACCAACCCAGATCTTCGTGCAGATGTTCGCTCACTGGCATGTCCCCACAAGTGTCAATTAGAAGAGAGGCTTCCCCTGGCTCGCGGAGTCTTGTCTCTTCTTTTCGGAAATGGATGGCGGTTTAGTAGCTAACCAGTCGCAACCTCGAGAATCAATTGGTACTGCCAAACATCTGAGGCCATTCTACAGGATAAAAAACACTCGGATTACCTGGCGGCCACTGTACATGGGACATGGTTGCAGTTTTGCGTCTAGTCGGTCTCGGACTTGACAGCCGAGCCCTCAGCTTTTAGCCACCATTGTTACTGGAGGCACTAGATATCAGATACAAGTACCGTGAGTACCACGACACGAGTTCGAAGGGTTTCTGGGAAAGGGAAAAGCACAGCTGTCAAAAAAGCACGCGATAACCCCGTCGCGTCGTCGCCTGCTGGCAATGTTACTTCTAGCGGCCACAGTATCCGTCCTTCGCCATCAGTCATCAGCCCACCAACCAACCAGGGATAGTGGCATGTTTGACCCGGCACGTTCCGACAAACGCCGGGCATATTGGCACGACATAGTCCACAGTGACAAGGCAAGAATCTTCGGCAGGTCGCAAGGGTGGCCCAAGGTTGCGTCGCGCCGGGCAATACGGAGCATTGTGACCATGTTCTGCAACCACGTTTTCGCATGACTCGAGTTTGTCTGCCGAGAAGTTGGAACCCAGTTAGCAATGCATAACACGTTCGGCCGGGGTGAATTCCACATAGCAGTCTGGGTTGAGTACTAATAGAAACAGGGCCAACGCGCCGGACTTGAGCTAGCAACTGGGCTTCGCAAGCCGCCTTCAGCCCAGCAGGTTGAACCGCCACTCTCCGACACCGTCCTAGTGCAGCAAGCAAGTCGTTCTCAACCACGGATCGGGCCAACTCTGCCCACAATGCTCCGTACCGGTTAATAAGTGACGACGCCTCGTCGCGGAGAACTCCCGACACAGTTCGTGGCTCAGGGAGGACAAAGCCTTGTCCGATCGCGCGTGGCGCCTGTCTCTCCATGCTTATTTTGACCGCCGCAAGCACATGTTGGGGAAATAAACAGTTAGACTCCTCGGCTCGGAAAGAAGGCGACGGGTGACCATTACCCCAGGTTCGCTCGAGCCCCGTACTCGTGGGGTTGGGTGGCATAGCCCGGCGCCCAGGGGCGAATACGAAATAAAGTGCCGGTCTGCGAACCGTCTGTCCAAATTAAGGCTCGTGTCTGCCTCGCTTTGCGGGGAGGGGGGGCGGTTGCTCCGGCAATTTCCACTACTCCGTACGGACGCCGCAAGTACTTGTCATGAGTTGTAACCAACTTGCAGAGTAGCAGTCTGTACGGAGTGCGTCTCGATGGGGTCGCAGGGACGGTGAGAAATCGACAAATTCGCCGTGGCCGTGCTCGCAAGTGTCGCAGACGGAGCAAATCTGCCACTGACTGCAAGTTGGGGAAAAGGCGGCCGGCACAGCACAGCCTCTTGGGCAAGTGGCTGACATGACAGGCGCCGCGTCGTAAATGGCTGTAAAGGGCTTAGCGGTGCATTTCACATTTCCCCGCCAGCCGCCTTTTCCATACTGTGTGTGGAGCAGCTTGCACGGCTTCCGCACCGACGACTCCATCGCGTTCCATCGCGTCGGTGGACGTCATGGATGGTTCTTAGCCCTGACTGCGGCGATTCTTGGAAGCGTTCACGCCAGCACGATGCGGGGACTGGTCCTTTCCTATTCCAGAGCTTGGCCCGGGGCACCAAACGAACGACGGCCGGAATGTCGGTGACTCCATGGCAAAACGTACCAGTCGACTTGGGACGATAGCTAGCTGCATCCCGCATCCCGCATTCTGCATGGTGTGCGTCGCAGCCATCAAGATGGGCTCGACAGCATCGCATGACCGGTTTGCCGATATAAAAGGACGATGCTGATCCCCCGTTCGACCCTGCGTCCGTCGTTTGTGCTGCTTGATGCCGTCTACTCCGCGCTCGCTGCTCGCGCCGCGATACTCAAGAATCGAACGAGGACACAATCCTCCAGCCGTATCCACCACCCTTTCTCTTGACCAGTCGACATCCCTGCCTCGCGTCTTCCCTCCTCCCGCTTCACCATGCGTCTCATCCCCATCGCCAGCATCGTCATGGCCCTCGCGGCCACCGCCATCGCCGACGGCAAGGCCATCACCGACGCCCTGACCAACATCAACACGCAGGCCGAGGGCCTCAACAGCACCGTCGCCAACTGGCAGGGCGACCTGATCGGCGCGATCCCCATCACTATCAAGTCGACCCAGCTGCTCACCCAGATCAAAAAGGCCACCAAGACGGCCTCTCAGTCGGCCAACTTGACCATGGAGGAGGCCCTCGCCGTCGCCCAAGCCACCGGCAAACTGAGCGAGACGGTTCAGACCACGCTGCAGACCATTGTCAACGCCAAGCCCAAGTTCGACAAGCTCATCATCCTGAGCCCCGTTGTCCTTCTGAACCTCGAGCTGCAGCAGGATGCTACCGACGAGTTCAGCAGCGCCGTCGTCAGCAAGGTCCCCACGGACCTGCGGAGCCTTGCCCAGGAATTGATCAAGCCGATTAACGATGCTTTCGCCGCCGCCATTGACAAGTATCGCCTCTTCTAATCGCGGAGCGCACAAGGAGGGGCGGGGGAGAAGGGGAGCGAGCACGAAGCAAATCTTGTCTGACGATGCTCTCGTACTGGGAGGACCATGTTCAGTCTGCCCGGCGCGGGCAAGGCGCAGAGTAGCTGAGCATCCGGAAAGCGCCCACCGCTGTCTTGTATATATATATGTATATATATACTGTAGAGCCTGCGTTCATAAACATGTTGACACTGGCCAATTCGCATCCGCGTGCTCCGTGTCGTTGACCGCCTCGCCTGTTACATGGGTATTCGTCTCCCCTTTTGGCGGGAGGGCGTGATGAACTGACGATCCATGGACGTGGGCATTTCTGACGTGTTCTCCTCTTCGAATCGCCGTTCAACGGCTCTCCGCCGGGAACACTCGCCTGCACACGCACACGTACATGACAAGTCACTATGCCATCACGGCGCCATGAATTCGACAAACCCCCCAACCGAGCCAGTCACTCCGTCACGGCAGGATCCATAATTCACAGGGGCGGCACGGGGCATGAGAGACGAGAAGGAGGAACAGCAAAAGAAAAGCAAAGCAACCGGCTCGCTTTGTCCCCAACCACGCCACCTAGTCTAGGGCCTAGGCTAGTCCATCTGGTCAACCGTCTGCGGCGTCACCGTCCCATTCTTCTCCCTCGCAGCACCCTGGACGTCGAGATCTCCCTCGCCGACGAGACATGTCCAGCCATGCTCGTCCTCGGCCTTGCCCAGCTGGATCGCCCGCAGGTGCGCCAAGAGCTTCAGGCAGATGGGGCCCGCGCCGGGCTGCTCCTCGGGGATAAACGTCACCACGTCCGCGTCGGGCGTCGAGCTGACGCGCGGCCCGGCGGGCAGGGAGCCGCCGACAGGGACGGGGCCCCTGCGGCGCGTGATGCTCCGGATGGGCACGAGCGCGGCGGCGGTCCCCGCGGCAAACACCTCGCTGAAGCCGCCGAGCTCGGCGTACTTGACGACACGCTTTTCCACCTTCCAGCCCCAGCCGAGAGCTATGCGCTGGACGCTGTCGCTCGTGACGCTGTCGATGACGCACTTGGAGTCCGGCACCACGAGGGTCACGCCGTCGTCGTCCGAGCTGGCCGCGGCGCCGATGAAGCCGGACGTGCTGAACTCGTCAATCTCGTCGTGCTTGGCGCTGTCGAGGTGCAGCGTGATGCCGAAGCCCTGCTGCTTCGCCTTGCCGCTCCATTTCAGGACGGGAGCGTAGTTGCCGCCGACCTTGGCGTGGCCCGTGCCGTTGGGCGCCGTGCGGTCGAACTCGTCCAGGATGAGGGCCTTGACCGGCTGCGTGCCGTGGTACACGCCCGTGGGGATGACGAAGACGCAAAAGGTGTATTCCTCGGGGGGGTCCAGCCCCAGCTGCGCACTCGATCCGTACAGCTGGGGGCGGATGTACAGCGCCGCCCCGGTCTCATGGGGAGGCACAAACTCGGCGTTGAGCGCGACGGCGGACCGGACCGCTTGCAGGAAGACGTCGACGGGGACCGGGGGCATGGACGCCACCTCGGCCGAGTGCTGGAGGCGCAGGGCGTTTCGGTCCGGGCGGAAGACGGTGATGGCCTTGTCGCCGGGGGTGCGGAAGGCCTTGAGACCCTCGTAGGCTTGCTGGCCGTAGTTGAGGGCCGGCGCCATGCCGTGGATGCGCATGAAGGGGTCGGCGACGAAGCGGAGGGGAGACCATTTGCCCGCCGCCTTGGAGTACGTCGCTTCGACGTGGCCGTTGACTGGGACGACGTCAGTACGGGAAGTCGTCTCGGGGGCCACGGTGCCTCGCGCGTCCCGCACGTGTGCTCACCCTCGCGGACCTTGAAGCCTACGTTGCTCCAATCAATCGTGTTGACGGGAGGGGGGGGGAAAGCACCCATCGTGGACTCTGATGATGTCGTGCGTGGTACGATGCGAACTGCTCCGTACCCTGGTGCTTTATGCAGGGCCCCGGCACGTCAAATGAGAGCGGGCAGCGAAGAATGCTGGAGCTCTAGACAGCGTCGACGTTTTGAACAAGCTCCAGCCATCATCGCCGGATCGTCTGACTCAATTCGGAACTGGTGCTTACGCCCTCCATCCCCGCCCGATAACGGACTACGGGGCGATGCGGCCCCGCATTTTTTTTTTTGGTGGTCACCAGGTTCCGGTTCCGGCGAAGCTCTGACATTGAACGTGATCCAATCAGAATGTCATCCATGGACAGGCTCTTGTCTCTGCTGTTGGAGGCGAACATACTGTTCTCTCCACGTGAGCAGTCTCGTTGCTAGATATACTTTTTGCTTCTTTCCCTTTTCTTTCATTGTCCACTTAGGTTTCATGCCCACATTGACTGTGTGCTTACACGCAGCATCCAACAAGGCTGGTTTTTGCAAAGCTTACGCTTACTCGCAAAAGTTGGGTTGGCATCTCAATTCTCAACTATTCCGCAGCACTTCTTCTCCCACACCCCCAACAAACAGAAAACGCTTTAGTCATATCATGCATGTACAGAAGAACCAGGCATTTTGCCCTCCTCCCTTGACCCCGATGCCTGGAAGCCGGACTATGGCCACGCCACAGTCCATCAAGTGCAAAAGAGCCGTAAAATTCGTCCATACGCTTGCTGCATGCTCTGCTGCCCTGCGTTTAGACTGGCCCTGAATCTTGTTCTCTTCCCGGAAACCGTTTCCTCGTTTCTTCTGTTCTCTTTCGGCTCCTCCTGCGGCTTGATTCGTCTTCTCATATCATATGCGTCTTAAGGAATTTGCACACCGGCATCTTTTCCCACCAAGTTATTTTCATCAAGCGAGCAATCCCATATGCGCCGTGTCTCTCTTTAATTTTTTTCCCTCGTCCAAAACGCCGTGCATATCCGCAACATAACAAGAAGAATCGAGTGGGATAAGCGTGAGTCATCACGACTCAAGTGAGCCAAGTCGTTGTAGGCAACTTAGGACACCTGCGACCAAGGACACGGTTAGAAACTATCAACCTCGTTTTGTCAAAGCCGTGTCGACTCACCGCTCACGCCTTGCGTCAATGTAGCCGCTGCCTCGGTGCTTCTATTGCCAAGGCTGACCGTAACAACATTTTCCACAATGCGTCGTTTGCCAACTTTGTTGGCCCACTTGAACACCTTTTCATCCTCCCTACCATCTCCAACAACCATAAGAAAGTCGACTGCCTTTTTACCTTCACTCCTCCCCCCCGAGCAAGCTTGACTGGTGAGCTTTTCGAACACCATTTGGGCAGCGGTGCCCTTAGTCCAGTCCAGCGGCTCTACAGCAATCGTTCCATCCAGAACAACAGCGTGCACCCGCTGTGACTCGCAAGCGTCGTTGACATGGCTAGCGCAGTCCGCGGCGAGACGAGCTGCAGCCTCCTGGTCCTCAGCCCCCTCGTAGTGGAAGAGCACGCTGCAGTGGCGCTCCTCGACCTTTGCACCTGGGGTCCGTTCGAGGTAGTACCGCAAAATCTCCTTGACTGACGTCTTCCAATTGTCAATATGCGCGCTGTCCGACATCTCAACCCACTTGTCAGAGCCGCAGTCCTTGATGAAGCAACCGTTCTCAGCAATGAGACCGAGACCAGGAACTCGTCGGAACACACGGTCAACTTCCTCCGGCTGGCGACCAGACATTACGTAGACAATGTTTCGCTCGTCCAACACCAAGTCATTCAACACATCGAGAGTCCGCTGCGGGCTGACAGGGATGATCTGGTTAACGGGCCCCCAGCTGACAAGCGTCCCCTCGTAGTCGAGTATAAACAGGCGACGATTCGATGTTCCATACATCCTGCAGACATCCTGAATGGAAAGTCGAGGCACGGATGTTTGCGCGCGCTTGTGCTGTTCCTCGTAGGCCCGGTCGAGGTGAGAGAGAAGCTCCGCAAACCAGTGAGAGCCAGTGTGTTGAGCAACCGACTCGTGCAAGTTTTCCCATCGGCGTGTCTTCTCGTCGTCATCCATCTCAAGCGCTTGCTTGATGGCGTCAGCACATTGCCGGTAGTCCCAAGGATTGACGGAGAGCTCCCATTTGTCGAACAGTGATGAAGTACCCGTAAATTCGGAAAGAATAAGAGCCCCGTGCTTGCAGCTGGGATAGATCTTGCCATCCTGGCAAAAAATGTACTCATGAGATGTCAAATTCATACCTTCGCGTTGACTTGTAATCATGAGCGCATCAGCAATGGTGAGGAGGGCAAGGTACTGCGCATAGTCGATGTCCTGCTTGAGGTATACCACGGGCTGGTAAGCCAGGTTGGCCCACGAAGAGTTGACGCGGGTGACAATGTCCGAGACGGTGGCGTCCAAGTCGCTATTTTGGCTCGAAGAAAGGGCCACCTGGATGAGGACAGTATGTTCTCGCCACTGTGGGTTCTTATTCAAGAACAGTTCGTAGGCCAGGAGCTTCTGGCGTACACCACGCACCTGGTCAAGCTTGTCCCGAGCGACAATGAGCTTCTTACCCTTATATCTCTCCTGAAGAATCTTGAGCCATCGTAGCACGTCCTGCTCGCCGCGATTTTTATTTAGACTAATCGGGTCGATTCCGATTGCAGTGTTGATAACATCGACAAAGCGATCTTCCATTTCGATTCCTTCAGGGGTGGCTTCAATCTTGAGAATTCTGCTGCAGGTCTGCAGAAAGTGTCGTGTGTATTCCTGGATCTGGAAGCCAACAAGGTTGGCTCCGAGCATGCCCTCTAGAAGCTCCTTGCGGACAGCGAGACAGCGGAACACTTCAGACGACGGAAAGGCGACATGGAGAAAAAAGCCAATCTTGGCATCAGGAAGCTTCTTTCGAACCATGCCGGGAACTAATAGCAGATGATAATCGTGTACCCAGATGACGTCGCCTCGCTTCCAGTTCTGGACAATCTTATCCGCAAAAGCTTGGTTCACATTGACGTAGTACTTCCAAGAATGGTCCTCGTAAGCCTTGCTCTTGGGGTTGTCTGGGATCTGGTAGTGGAACACTGGCCACAGAATTTGCTTGCAAAAGTGGGTGTAGTGCCCGTCAAAATCTTTGTCGGAGCAGAATACAGTCATCATATCGTATTCGTTTGCCAAAGTGTCCTCGATATCTACCTTTTGCTGCGTGCCCTCAAGAGCATCTGTAGGCATTCCCAAAGTTCCTAGCCAGATGTAATCCCCGAGCTTTCCATCGCGGGCTGCGGCTTCTGCCGCATTGCGCAGTCCACCATTGCCCTGGTCAGCATCCACAACGGACCACGGGGCACGGGAGAAAACACGGTCGTGGCTGTCACTCCGCATGTGCGTCTTGGGCTGCAGCAAGCCTCGACGGCCGAGCTCACGAGCCTTCTCCAAGGTCCGGTCTCGTTCGAATATTTCGGCCGGAGGGGGGGAGTTGGCTCGAGAGAGGGGCTGGTTCGCGCGTTTTCCCCAGCGAGATGATATCTCGTCCGTGGGGGAACTGAGTTCGTGTGGAAATTGAATCCTTAGGCCATCCTCGTTGGCGAAAGGATCCGGCGATTCGGTCCCATCGGGGGGAGTGCGAGGCGGCGTGATGACGGGTCGCGGACTAAAGAGACTTGGCTGCGTCTCGACAACGGGGGCCGTGGGCCGTTGTGGCGGCGGGATCGTCGTCTTGGGCCGGCGTTGTAGGGTATTTCTTCGAGGAGGTGTGCCAGGCAGGTTGAACTGGATCGTCTTTGGAAGGAACAGCGAGCAGACAAGGACAGTCATTGTCGGAAAGAGCCCTGCGCGGAGGACGACGATGCGCTTCTATGATGCAAGATGCCCCAGAAGAGCAACGGACAGCCACAAGGAAGACTGCTCAATCGAACCGGGAGACTCAAAAGGCGATTTAGCCCCAACTGGCGGGTGGCGATATGTTACTGGCGCATAAGGAAAAAAAAAATTGCGCGAGGTAAGTAGGCGCTAGATTGGTGACGGGGAGAGAAGAAGAGTTGGTGGCCGCAAAAGAGGTAGAGAGAAAGCGTCTTGACGGACTGGACAAGGAGTTTGAACGCTGGTCGGGGGGGCGCGAGATTTTGATTGATTGATGTTTCACAGCGTGAGGCGCATGGAATCCCGGTGATCTGGCTGGGTTCGGGTTCTTTTCCGTTGCCAGGTGGTCAAGACATGAACAGACAAGAGGCCGTCTCGATTTTAGTCTAGAAACAGTCAAGCCTGATCTTGACGAAGGAACCAGACCGAAGGGGCTCGACACAGGCGGGGTTGCAGATGGTGGCACAATAGTGGGCACAGTCGCTGGAACAAAGCCGTTAAGTGACAAGGCTTGGCAGGAGCCACTGCCGAAAAGGTCCAGTTATATACTAAAGTAACGTTATCCACTCCTCAAGCGGTGGTCCTCCAACTTGACGGTCAATCTCAATAGTTGCATAGAAGTCGGCGAGTGTACCAAAGGAAGTGCCCGCCACGTTCACCAGTTTATATTCACCCCAGTCTTTTGCGATTGCGATTGCGATTTCGCCAGTTCCACCAGCAGTCAAAACCTGCTTGCGTGTCGGCCATTAGCCTCGATGATGGATACCGGCGTCATCCGAGGCCAAGGGGCTGACGTTGTCCCTGAGCTGGGCAACGGGAGCGTTTGATCCATTGGAGGCGCAGGACCCACTGGCAAGACATAGCAACTACTCCGTACAACATCAGCATTACATCACGACGTCCCCGCAGAGTATGGCCGGACAGAACAGCCAGTGCGGTGCCAGCGCGGATCAAGACTCGACATCGAGCATCGAACATCGAACATCGAGCATCGAGCATCGAGAAACGAGCGACGACATGCCTGCCCTCCCAGATCCCAACTAGTCTCAGCTTCACTAGCTTCAGGTCCTATCCCAGTTGAATGTTCAGTGGGGAACACGGCGCCGCCATGGCGAGACGGTGACGACAAGGTCACACCAGGCCCAGACCAAGTCGGTGCCTTGCACGCACAACTTGTTGCTCAAGGGGTTGTGTGAGGCGATTGTGGCCCCCACCAGGTGAGTTGAGGCACCTCGTTGTGCTTTTGGGGTGCCAGGTGAGGGCCTGGATCCCCAGGTGCTCGCCTCGTCCTCGACACATTGCCAGCACGTCGCGTACAACTTCCTCGCTTAGGCAAAACATCAGGCCCGTGGTCGAGATTGGGCTGTCATCCCAGCAGCTGCCCAGTGGAATGAGGGCCGAGCTAGGCGCTTACAAGGGCTTACCGAGCGTCGCAAGAGGACATCTGGAACCGCGTTTGGGGGTGCGTCCGTCTCTCAACGTTTCTGGCACCAACCTGGACACCCAAACCAAAATTCTTCCACAATACATACCGAGGTAACTAACTACCTACCTACTTAGCTAGGAAGTGTATGATGACACATACCTACCTAGGTATAGCATCCCGCACCGGACCAGGAGTCGCATAATACGTCGTGCGCAACTCCTTCAACACCAGTGGACGACTCCTCCGTGTCGCCAGATCAGCTGTCATGCCCGAGCCCCAATTTTCCTAGCGGCAGTCATGCGCACCCGATCCATTGGCGCGGGTTTCGTCGCATAACTGGATGTCCTCGGCCGTATCATATCACGGCTTGGTACACGGGAAATTTCACCGTCTGGTTATGCGCAGAGGAGAGGCGAAACTTCAAGCTAGAAACCGCGACGTGCACAGTACCCACGCCCCCGGCACTCTACCGCCACAGGAATAATGACGAGCCAATGAATAGCCCTGGTTTCGTACCACCAAAACTCTCATTGTTGCTGTTGTCAGCAAAAGCCCATACTGCTCGCAGAAACAAAGGGCGGTTTGGCGAATCATTCCTGCACATGGAGTAAAGAGCCTCCACATCCATCTTTTCCATGTGGTGGTTCTCGCTCAAGGAAGCTCCACCTTTCAAGAAACGCGACGTCCTCGCGACGCCAACAAACGGCACGCGGAGACGAGTTCGCCAATCGCCATGACGTTTACGAGTTCCATCACTAATTAGGCACCGAAAATTACCCCAGGCCGTCTTGTTGTTATGGCAGCGCCTTTTCCTGCTACCCAACTGGTCTTTGCCAATCAGCGCGGACTCGACGCCGTCTCAAGTCCACGTCCTGCCGAGATATCTATGTCCAACTGGCCACGGGCCCCGTCCTGTTGCCACTGCCAGGATTCAAATGTATCACCACGTCATCAATACAGATCTGACGACTCACGGGAACAGGTGCAGTAAGACGAGGTATCGATTGTGGCTCAAAGGATTCAAACCCCTCAGGCTCAGTCGGGTGGGATTTGGCCACGGAGCATTTGGTCCCCAGTTCTCGCCTTGGAGTAGAATTTTATGCTCCTCGACGATTGGCGATGACTTCATGGTGCTGCCAGGCCCTGTGACGACGAATAAAATGACAGCGGCCCGTCACACGGGTATCTATTGCTTGAAAAGCCGTCTTTGGCCGTTATGCTCCGAGTTCATGGTATCGCCCAGTTATTTGCCAGCTTGCTTTCTTGATTTGCATGCATTCCGCGGTATCCGATGCCCGCCACCACGTTCCAGGTGCAAATGCAGTTCCCATCCCAATGCCAAGTTCATGCGATATTTCAACTCGCATGCATAGATCAGGCAGGTGGTATGCCTGGTCCCCTAGGCATTTTGTCGGACAGAACGTGCGTGGACGTGGTGTTCCAGAGCAGTCTAGCCCTGGCCGTCTTGTGTCGGATGGTCTGTGGTGCCCTTCTTACATGAGGCTATTACCACCATGCTGTGCTACCTGAAATATTTCGAATGTCACGCGCACATGTCAGAAACAGCTCCTGTGAGTCAAATTGCGCTCAAGTACGGGGTTCTTCATGACAGGAGGATCTGGTCTGCTGTCCACGACGTCACACAAACTGACGATGCTGCCACAAGACCTCAACCATTTGAGCACAGGAGAGTGACTTGATGAACTCAGTGAGTTAAGACACCGTTGTCGGCTACTTCATTCTCCGAAGCTGGGCCGTTTGTAAGTTGACGGTGCTTCATTTGCTTCATTTCACACTTAGTATAAAGTTTCGCAACCTCGCAGTCTAGGCTGACTAGAAAGGCGGGCTTTGCTCCTTGAATATACCGTACGGCGCATCTGTTTGACGTTTGTAGCATCCATTTTACAGCTCAAACGTCGACATTCAGCTCCTGGACCTGAAACGGCCGACTTCAGTGCTATGTAGAGAAGCACTAGAAGTCATAGAGACAGACTTCTTATTCCATTAATCATGGCAGCCAGCCACTTCCTCTGCTGTCGAGAATCTAGCGCTATCGCCCCAACAACGGATCAAGCCTGCAGCGCGCTTGCTCTTCAGCACCTCGCTGCTCATAACAGTGCCTGCCTGGCTTCTACCAAGTGAAGCAGAGTATTAGAAAAACCATGAATCCAGGTCTCAAATTGAGCTTGTCCAAGGGTACAAAAATTGCTGAAAGTCTGGTCTGTCTCCATATTGGAGATGACTACCGCTCGTTCAAGCCGCGAGCCACTTGTAATGTCCACGCATACATAATGACAGAACATCGGGATGGTCGTGAAATAGAACAAGCAGATAGAATGAAAGCGAGCATCAACATCGAGCCGTATTTATCTACTCGGATTACACACTGACTTGCAGCCAGCGGATAGACACCCCTGGAGGAACCGGTTTGAATATTACGAGCATTGCGGCAGAGCAACAAGCACGATGGCCTCCCAGTCTGCAAAGGGATCTCCATTCGCATGGCATTTTACTTGCAGTCATACAATTCCTCTCGATCAATAGGCTTTGACACCTATATATTTAGGCCTCATGCCACCCAGACTTGATGCATGAAGCAAAAGTATGTTCAAACTGACTGACATTGGGACCAGCTGTCCAATGGTACAGCCTGGTGCCGTTTTGATTTACTGGATGGGATACTCCGTAGAGCAAGTCGGTATTACACATTACACGGTCGCGATGCGGGCGTTTCGTTCTCGGAACGCACCCCGAAGACCTACCGCAACGAGCCCCAAATGTTGTTCAAACTCTCCGCAAGGGATGGATGAGCCCAGACAGCGTCTCTCAATGCTGTCCACTTGCTGCCTGCGATCATGGCCATCTGCACCACGCTCATAACCTCTCCGCCCTCCAATCCAAGGCACGAAAATCCCAAGATCCTTTGTGTGTCGGCATCGACGACAGCTTTCATCATGCCCCTTGACTCATCGGTCTCTAAAGCTCGCGCGACATGTGCCATGGGCATAGTTGCTACCTGGACCTTGGCATCGGGAAACTTTGCTCGCGCCTCGTGTTCATGCAGGCCGACATGGGCGAGCTGCGGGTCCGTGTAGACGACATAAGGCAAAATACGATCTACAGTAGTGATGGCTGCGGGATGGGAGTCCTTCTCGAGCAAGTTGGCTCGCAGCAGGCGGAAGTCGTCATAGGAGACGTGCGTGAAGGCCGGCGGCCCTTTGACATCGCCGAGTGCCCACACATGCGGATTGGAAGTTTGCAAGGTCTGGTCGACTGAGATGTGACCGCGAGCTGTGGTCTTTACTAGAGCTGCCTCGAGATTGAGCGTGTCTGTGTTGGGCACGCGGCCCGCGGCGAATAGGACATGAGATGCCGTGAGCTCCGACGCGCCATGCGGGCCAGAGACGGCGACGACAACAGCCCTGGCAAGGTCGTCATCGCCCGAGGCGTGGAAGGCTGTAGGGGATGTCTTGAGAAGAACCTGTATGCCGTCCTGCTTCAAAATCTCAAGCATCTTCCCAGCCACGTCGGCATCTTCCCGAGGAAGCAGCTGGGAGTTGCGCTGAACAATGGTCACCTCGGCGCCTAGTCGCCGGAAGAGCTGGCCGAATTCAAGACCGACGTAGCCACCTCCGACCACGACGAGGTGGGATGGAACCAGGTCGAGTTCTTGAATAGAAGTCGAGTCGAGAAGGGTGCCCGGGGGGAACGCGGCCGCATGGAAGCCATCCAAGCTCGGAGTCGCGGGCCGCTCGCCCGTGCAGATGAAGATTTGATCAGCGGCAAGGGTTTTTTCGGCACCGTCCAGGCCGCTAACATTGATCGTCTTCTCGTCCCGAAAGCTGGCAGAGCCCATGATGACGTCGACGCCGGCGTCGCGAAGCCTGGCTTCACTGCTGGAGCGAAAGCCATCGACAATGTCGCGCTTGCGCTGCCGCACCCTTTGCATGCTGACGCGAAGGGCGTCGGACGGGGCACCCACCACGCCGTATTCCGGCCCTCGTCTGGCCAAATGGGCTGCTCGGCCAGAGGCAATCATGGTCTTGGTCGGCGTGCAGCCTTCGTTCACACAGCAGCCGCCGACATGAGTGCTCTCGACCAGCGCCGTCTTCTTCTTGGCTCGAGCGAATGCCATGCTGAGAGGCGTCCCGCCTTGACCGGAGCCAATGACTACGGCATCATAGTGCGTAGACATGCCGGATCCTCGTGAGATGGTGTAGCTGCATCTGTCAAGGTGAACTAGGGACCGTGACAGTCTTGACGGATCAAGGCACAGTGATCGGGATACGGTTGGCATCCGGATCTTACTTGAAGCAATATTTGATACAAACGCATCACCTTATGCTGGAGCACAGATGGATAAGCATCAAGCGGACGTCTTACACGGAGCCATATGAGGTGGCTGTGCGGGGAAGCCTGCGGGCGGCGGGCGCAACAATATTTTGAGTTTATCTCTGACCTACTGTGGACTACGACCAAGGCCGTTGTGTACTAGTTGTAAGGACTAGATTCACAGCGACATGGCATGACAATGCGGAATATTGATGTGGCGTGGAGAAGATGAGTCTGGCTGACACGAGCAACCTCACGGGTCCGGGTCTCCGGCAAAGCCGGGAATGAGAAGGCGACAAGTCCACGGCTGGTCTTTGTGGTCCGTCCGGCATTAGGAAATTCACGCTAGGGAAGGAGGGAGATTGGGCACAGATGCGTCAGTCTGAAACGAACGAGCTCCTTGAGCCCTACCGGGCATCCTCCTTGATAAGGGAACCCACGGTTCTTGAACTGGGAGCTCTGTCCAAGCTCCCAACAAACAGCCATGGACCAAGACCGACAAAGGCCTCGCAGATTCCGAATAGCTAGTCCATTTCGGACAGAAACAAAAGAAAGAAAATTGGAAACCCTCTCTTACACGGGTGGACACGGCTCGCGTGAAAACCTGCCAAGGAGAGTTGTCATTAATATAATTAGTTTCAAATGAGACGGCGAACCAAAAAATGGCGGGCTTGTTTGCCCCAAGCCACCACGATTATGTCGGATGTCTGTTTTGTTTCCTTCCGAAAAGCGCCTACTGTAACTATAAAGTTGGGCAGTAAAGCACCGGCTCTGGCCATTCATGGGTCGCAAGCCTGACCAGCTACATTCATCACCATCGTGCAAGGCCAATGGGATATCTGTGCCATGTCTGTGCCACCAACACCACGAGGCAAAGACACATACGCATCTGCTATTGGACGAGGTTGCAGAGCATGGACGAACGAACGCTGGAGTTCCGCCACCACCGGCCGTTGGAAGCAAACTCAAACCCGTTGTTGGTTTTGTTGATGGCAGAAGCAGGCACTGGACTACGAATCTGACGAGCCTCGACCTGGCCGCTGCATGTCGAGACAAGAAACACCAAAGCCTCGTGAGCGTTCCTCCTTTCCCCGACCATGCCGCATAGGTGGGATTCTTGGCTGCTGCAATACGCCTCACCCGCTTCATAAAGGAAGAGTCATATTGATAAGCAATATCTAGCGACCATCGAGCCTCCGTGATCCAGCCCCTGTCGTGCGAGCAGCAACCGTTGGCCCAGCTCTACCGCGTCCATGGGTCACCGGTCGCATCTTGACCCAGACGACGAGCGTCTGCCAGAAGGCATCTCCCGCGTTGGCTATGACGCCGACACCGAGTCCTACACCTTCCAAGACAGGTCCGGCGCCTATTGGGAGGGCAAGCCTGGCCGGCGATACGGCCCCCTGAGGCGCGTCCACACATCACCAAATGTCCGAACGGCGCCCCCCGACGCACCGCACATGACTCGAGTCGACGAGCCAGCAAGGGACGCACGTGAAGGTGGTGTATCTGAGGACGAAACGGGGCTTTGTCAAGGGCCGCGAGTCGAATCCAGGGACTGGGACGCCGGGAGGTGCTGTGAGAAGCACAAAGCGACGTGGGAGGAGAAACACCATCGCACCGTGACACGGCGTTTCTCCAGGCTCGCCGGGTACTTGCGCGGCTCGCTTCCTGAGCGCAAGACGGCCACCCGCGGTCTACGCGAGAAGACGTTTCCCATGTCCAAGGGCGGCACCAGCATGTCATCACGGTCGTGGGCGTTGGATAGAGCTGTGACCTTTGACGAAATCTTGGCGCGGCACACGGATGTGGAATGCTGCACCCAACGTAGCAAGATGAAAGGCCGCTAGGAGTTAGGACTGAGTGATCAGATACAACAACATGGCTGTAGCTTGGAACTCTCTCCGTCTCATCCAGGCAACCGTGTTTGGCAAATCAGCATGTCAAGTTGTAGCTCTGCGTCTTGTGACGAAGCGTTCCGCAATCCAGTATCCTGATTGTTTCGTTTCGCTGCTTCTGCCTTGGATTTGATGGTAGAAGTTGGCTGCTGCTTTTCGGAAGAGTGTGTCGCACTACAAAATTATGCTTTGGTCTCAAAAGTCGTCGTGTTTGCTCAAGGACGTGGCTGGCACAACACCTGACCAGGGGGGCAATTCAATCAAGGCAAGATTGCATCCTGGCTCCTTTCATCGACCCTGCTCCTCTCCCGCGCACCTACGTGAAGACGGACATGAATCCATGGCTTTTTGGAGTCCATTGCGATTTACCCAAGGGCAATATCGATTTCTACCTGGCCCCTGAACCATTGGTCCTGCTCCAGCATGAACCACCCAAGACGGCTGTACGACCCATTGGCGTTGTGGCTCTTGAGCATCAATCCGTACCTTGATACGACCAGTAGGCAATATATCGTGCTTACGCCAACCCTCTCTTCCTGAACATCAACATGTCCCAGCGCGGTCACGTTATCAAGCAGCTCATCGGAGTCGAGCTCCCGCCGCGGTGCTCCAACGTCTACTAACAACACGCTGTATCTGCTGTGGGCGAGTCCCTTGACTGGCCTTTTGGCCGATTGTCTGAGGCGAGTGTAGCGCAGCTTGGGCGATTCATCGAGTATCCGGGCCTCGACCACGCGTCCCATGAATCGTAATTCGCAAACTGGCATGTGTAGCTTGTCCGCTCCGCATTCCGAGCCCTCCGACCACCTATCTGGATGAGAAGGCCTTGGTCGGATGTTGAAATTCGACGCGTCTCTGTACAACTCCACATTGGGGGGAGAAAACGACTGTTGCAATACCTGTCCCTGAACGGAGGCCCATGACCAAGAGGGGGCACAAACAACATCTCGAGTCGTACCGGAACCAGTGAGCGACGTCGGCTTCGGCCGGACAGTTTGCTCCCAGTTCGGGGCGAGGTGATATGTAGGGCGCCACATCAACCCTCGCACAATGTCGCATTCCCAGATGCCGGCCAGATAGCGTGATCCGAGGACTTTGGCGACGTGTTGCGCTATGGCAGCCAAGGAGGCGAAAACATCATGTGGGTTGGAAAGCTTGCACCTCGTGTAGGGGAACAACAGCCCGTACCACTCTTTCAAAGTCTCATGCATCATGACCTGCTGCTCGTCCCGCATGTGCGGCCTTGTCGGCGTCGACGCCAGCAGCCTAGAGCCAGCATACTCGGCTGACTTGAAGCCGTCCTCGTACACGGTTCCCGCCCTGCACGAGAATTTGAGTTGGTCTGTGCCGAAAACCACGGCCCTCTGGCTGAGAAGCCTTTCCTGGAAACACCAGGCTCTGGTCGACGTAGGTCCAATGTCGGGGGATCTCTTTAATCCAACCATGATTGTCGACTTTTCCGACGACTCTTTTGGCAGCTCGCAGAACGTCCCGAGGTAGTCGGAATCGTTGGCTATGAAGCCGTGTCCCGAGTCTGACGACCGCCCAGCGATGACGGTTAACGCAGCATTGCCGTAGACTATAGCCATGCGTCTCGATTCGCGCTCCCAATCGGCCGTGTTGGACTGGATGATGCAAAGCGCGTCGATCCACACGTACTGAACGCCCAGAGCGCGGGCAAGAGACATCATCTCCTGGTGTGACTTGGACAGGTCTGACTCGTCGATGCCCAGCACGAAGGAGGAGTAAGTGGCGTCCGTCAACTTTGCAAAGCCGGCAGTGCTGGCTCCCCAGCAGTACGACAGGGCCAGGTACGGCTCGCAGATTCCATCCTCAGCAGCCGACACGAGCCTCGGCTTCCTGTCCGTGACGGGATCCCCAACATGCATCACCCGGGTGGGCATCTCGCAGCCCTTCCCGAGTGCAAGTGAGCAGCGAGGGTGATGAGCGCGACACGCAGCCATCCATTGTCTTATCAGGACGACATGGAGCCCGGGGTCTTGATACGCCGTGCTTCTTCGGCCCCTGATGTTGTATTTTGAAGGAGGACCCGGTCCCCTGATCAAGTCATCAGCACCACCGTGTCGACCGGGGATCGACAGACGACCTACTCGTACACCTCCAGGACGGCTTCGATGGGCTCCGGGTTCACGTGTTCCCAAAAGCTGGACTTGGGACCGCGCCTCCCGCAACTGACGGCGACGGTATCGCCAGAGGTCGGGTGGCCGAACTGGTTCCCATTCAGCCATATCCCCGGGGACCATTCCGATCCTTGAGGGAACGGGGATTCACCGCGCAGGAGGCGGTCGACGTATTTGGCGGCATCCCTTTTGAACGCGGTCCAGAAAACAAAGCACAGCTCGCATCCCCCGTCGGCGCGGTCTTTCAAGCATTTCAAGTTGGGATGGAGCAGCAGGTCGTTTTCCCGCAGCTCCCTGGCGGTGAGCGTGCCGCATCGGTCGCAGTACGGCATTCTTGACGATTTGTGTCAACTATGCTTCTGATTCCCGTTGACTTGGACGCGGCAGAGAGGCTGCTCGAGTCTCGACTCTCGAGTCGTCGTGAATCCGACTTGCGGCTACCACGGGTTGCTTGCCAACTCACCGCCGACCGGGACCGATGGCTGCTGACCTGCAGCTTTTTCTTTTCTATCCGGGGCCTTGTCACGTGTCAGCGACGATGTTCAACGCGCATGACTTGGCTTGACTGTTCAATCGACCTCGTGGTGGGCGACATTTTCCTTGTAGCCCGGTGCGAGCTGGCAGGCGATGCCAGGCCATCATCTTGTTGCTTCGCGAGAACAGCGCTGCCCTACAGTTGCACATTAGCTCGCATCTGCAAACGCTGCCACTACAATTTTCCGATTTTCTAATTTTTAGATTTTTTAAAAGTATAAAGTTATATA